TCTGTGTCTATTTTTCAGATACACATTCTTGCAACCAAAGTTCCATTTGGATAAAAAGACAAATTAAGCAGGCAGGGGTGCCCCCCCAATCTCTCCCCTCCTATCACTGTTCCCTTTGACCTGTTTGAGTTTCTCTGCCCAATTTTTCACATCTAAAAGGACCAAGTCAATATCTGGGAAGATAGTTTGAAATGGCATGGCCTTGATTAATTTGTTCTACTATAATTATATAAGAGTTCCTGCTGGGCACTTCTGAAAAATGTTCTAGAATAAACATCAATAAGGAACAGAGAGGCTCCTGGGAAGCCAACTCCTTCAAAACCTGTTGCTTGTGAGATTTCACAATGGCAAGAAACATTTGGGCTTCGCTCTTGGCAGTACGCTCTGTCCAGATTGCTTGGCGTCCAATTATAATACTCAGCAGTTTTATGCCCGTTGGCAAAAGAATTAGATTTTTATTGGCTACTGCTCAGTTTCTAGAACATACAGTGACTGCCTGATGGGAGCTTATGGGTATTGGTTACTGGAAATAGAAACCATTCAAGGTGAAGAGCTCAAAATTTTCCAAGGGCATCTGAAATGATCAAAGAGCCGGGTTAGTTGGAAGGACAATAGATTTCTGAGACTCTTTCTGGCTCCAACATCCATCAAACTTCTGCTTACCAGGTGCTGGGTTTGCAGCACATCAGTGTTTTCCTGTTTTCTCCATAGGCCCTAAAGAAGGTGCCCCCAGCAAAATTAAATTTTAATATGTCCCAATTTGAAAAGTGTGAGCCTCAGTTTTCTTATTTGATAAAGAGAGGTATTTATGATATTTACCTATGGGTTTTCTATGAAGATTAAATGTGATGATGTACTGAAATGCTTTGTAAACTAAGATATTGTAACCCAGTTCTCTATAAGAAAATCACAATTCCGTTTGGTAGAACAGAAGATCTTATTAAAATGCACATCTTTTCAATAATAATAATAAAAAAAAGCCTTGGCCAGCCGAAACCGGTTTGGCTCAGTGGTAAAGCGAGGGTCTGCAGACTGAAGGATCCCAGGTTTGATTCCGGTCAAGGGCGTGTACATTGGTTGCGGGCACATCCCTGGTAGGAGGTGTGCAAGAGGCAGCTGGTTAATGTTTCTCTCTCATCGACGTTTCTAGCTCTCTATCTCTCTCCCTTCCTCTCAATAAAATATATTTTAAAAAAATCAATAAAATATATTAAAAAAAAAAGGCCTTGGCCAGGTAACTCAGTTGGTTAGTGTCGTCCTGACTCACCATTGTTTCAAGTTCAATCTCTGTTAGGATACATACAGGAATCAATCAGTGAATGCATAAGTAAGTGGAACAACAAATCAATGTTTCTCTCTCAAATCTATAAATCCTGACTCATTCAAAGAGTTAGTGATTGATTTTGATTAGAAGCATAAAGAATTCCTTGCTCTGTTTTGTTGAAGTAATAAATGAAGCGAATTTGAATTGAAATTAGAAGGATGAATGAGCTTTGATGAAGAGGACAGGGTAGGTGAAGAAGAATGTTCTAGAATCAGTGGTCCAACTGGTGGTCCCTGAGGTCCCTGTTCTAGATTGAGGGCCTGCATGAAGATCTGACAACACAGGGGGTTAAGCCTCTGTGCCCAGATGTTTCAAGGGGCATAACTTGAGATGAGATTTGAAAGATAACCCGAGGGCAGCTCATAGAGGTCCTTGAATGTCATAATAAAGGTTTGGATAAAATTCCATAGAATAGGGAATCACCGAATGTTTGGGGGAAGGGAGGATGACATGATGTACAAATGTTCTGCATTTTGGCACGATGCCCCTCATAGCAGTATTGTTTGCCCAAGAGAAGTCTTGGAAAGGCAGACAATGGAGACAGGGTCTATTGGGAAGTTATTGAGCAGGTCAGCAAGAAAGACAGTGAGATAAAAAGCTAGACCTCAGACACAAGGGACATTAGTGGTGGGACTGAATGAACAGGATTTGGTAGCTGCGAGGTAGTGGAGGGAGGGGGAGTCCAGAACCAGTAATCGCCATAGGAGGGGACAGAAACATAGTGGAGTTGATCAGAATGAAGTCAGATCGCCTAGCCAGTCCTTCCTCAGCAGTCTTGTATTTTTGGGTCTGTTATCAACTCTGGCAGAGCCAACACACTCAAGCCAATCAAATCCAACTTGGACCATTCTTCTCCACGGTTGCCAAGACCTCTGGGAGGTCCATTGAGTGCGATGACAGGCCCTTCCTCTTAAAGGAGAATGCCAGCTACTTTCAAAGGAACAGGGCACTAAATTTTTGGTCCTCCTTTCTCTATTTGCATCCTCATGGCAACAGAGAACACACAGATCGCTCCTGCTTACAGCTCTGCCACTGAAGATTCGCAGAGCTGCTGGGTGGTCAGTTTCTGAAGACAGCCTCTAGGTTTTGTGTTCTTTTTCCTTCTTGGCCCAGAATGAAAGGTTAAATGCAGGAAATTAAGATCACATTGTCCCAGGGCTCATTGACCAAATCCCATTAGATTGACAACCTCTAGTCACTGGTTATATTTTAAAGTTGTCTTCATTGGCATAAAAATGCATCAAAAGGTGTTTATTAGAAGTTCATCTGAGGGTGGTGCTGGGCTGTGCAACAGTCCAGTCAGGATAGTAGTTATGAAACAGTCACATTATCCATCGTGGAGAGGCAGAATTCTACACAGGAAGTGTTCCGGTTTCCATGTTTCTGCATATTGGTTGAGGGGGAGGGGTATGTGTGTGCTTCCCGTATATTCCCCAACTGGGGATGGATATGTGCCCTGACAGGGAATCAAACTCCCAACGTTTTGGTGCATGGGAGAAAGCTCCAACCTACTGAGCGTTTCAAGCAGAGGCTGGAGGAGTGAAAGGGCGTACGACGAGTGAGAAAAAACAGTTTAATGAGGAAAATTACCAGTGAGGCAGGAACTATTTATTGTCACTCTCCTTCTTGCTGATCAAACCCAACTCCAGTCAGGTATTGGTAGCTTTTTCTGAGGACACAAGGTCCCTCTCCAGCCCAAGCGGGTCGTCCTTAACAGTCTAAGCCAAGGGTGGGGAACCTTTTCACTGCGAAGGGCCATTTGGACATTTATAACAACATTTGAGGGCCAGGCAAAATTATCAACTTAAAAATTAACCTGCTGCTGAAGCCTGTTTGGCTCAGTGGTAGAGCGTCGGTCTGCGGACTGAAGGGTCCCAGGTTCGATTCCGGTCAGGGGCATGTACCTTGGTTGCAGGCACATCCCCAGTAGGGGTGTGCAAGAGGCAGCTGGTCGATGTTTCTCTCTCATCGACGTTTCTAGCTCTCTATCTCTCTCCCTTCCTCTCTGTAAAAAATAAATAAAATATATTAAAAAAAATTAACCTGCTGTATTTGGTCAGACATTTAATTAACTCACTCCTAATGCCTTGGCAGGGCCAGACCCAATGATTTTGAGGGCCTTATTTCATGTTCCCACCCTGGTCTAAGCTAGTCACTGTATATCACTTCCCTCATGGGTGGTTGCTTCGCACAGGCCGTGTCCCCTAAAAGGACAAGTTGAAGTCCTAACTCCTGGTACAGGGAGTGATCTTCTCTGGAAACAAGGCCTTTGCAGTGATCGAGTTAAGATGAGGTCATTAAGGTGGACCTTAATCCAGACTGACTAGTATCCTTATGAGAAGAGAATGCCACGCTGGCCAGGTTAGAGCATCATCCTGATACGCCAAGGTTTCAGGTTTTGGCCCCAGTGAGGGCACATACAAGAAGCAAACAATGAATGTGTACATAAGTGGAACCACAAATTGATGTTTCTCTCTCTCCCAAAAAATCAACCAATAAAAACATTACAAAAGAGAAGGAACGCATGTGAAATGCAGACACACACGGAGAACACCCTATGGCAGTGTAGGCAGAGAAGGGAGTGATACACCTACAAGCCAAGGGACGTCAGGGCTGATGGCAACACTAGGAGCCGGGAAAAAGGCCCGGAACAGTTCCTGCCCTGGGCCCTGCAGACCTTGATTTTTGCCTCTGACCTCCGGAACTGTGAGACAATAAATGTCTGTTGTTTTGCCAGGCCCAGGACACTAATGGAGCTGGTTAATGAAACTGAGGGAAAGCAGCTAAGGACTTCTGGGAGCGGGTTTTCTAGCTCTGAACCTTATTTGACCCTAACAGGCAAATTAAAAAAAAAAAAAAGGTAATGCTTATGGTATGTATGCAAATTAACTTCCATCTTTGTTGGATTAATTTGCATACTCACTTTGGCTGTGGGCATAGCAGACATACGGTCAATTTACATGTTTCTCTATTATTAGATAAGATTAGGTAAAGTGTGATAGGATCTTGCCTGTCTGGTCCCTGGTTTCTGTGAGAACTTTTGAATGATTCCATCTTTGATACTTAAAACATTTTCCTGTAATAATCTGGGTGTGGTGTTAACTCAATCTAAGGTCATTTGCTCCGTAAGCCTGGCTATGCGTTTGTTTTGCATATTTTTCTTCTAGAGAAGAAATTGTACCGTGTTCTGCTAGGTATCATAAATCTACATATACATATATATTCTTTATGGTGAAGGTTATTCATTCACCTAGCAGACATTCGGGTCCTATCATGGGTGTAGCAAGTTCTGTGCTCACTCATGCAATAAAGGGTAAAACAGGATCCCTATCTGAGTGGGGGAACAGACTACAAATAAATATATATGAAAACTTGTCCCAGGTGTTGTGGATGAAAGCAATAGATCGTTGAGGTAGAGAGTGAGGTGCGGGGAGGGGACAAGTTCTTTGAGAAGGTGCCATTGGAGCCCAGGCCTACAGGCTGAGCAGGAGCCAGGCCAGGGGATCAGGTCACATTCCTGTTAAATTAGCTAAAATAGCTCCCATCCCGAGCGGGAAGCCACAGGTGTGGGCAGAGGCCTCGCCGCCAGCACCAGAGAGGGCGGGTGGGCGTGGCTTGGCGCGGAGGGGCGTGGCGCGCCGTGATTGGCTGGCCGGGGCGGCGGCACGCGGGCTCCCGCGGCGGCGCTGCGGAGGCTCCGGGCAGGAGGCGCGGGACGAGGAGGGTGCGGGTCCTGCGGGGCCTCCCGCGCGAGCCGAGCGGTTTGCTGGCGCGCATGGCGGGCTGCCTGCCTCCCTGCGTGGCGGACTGCGGCACCGGGTAAGAGCGCCGGCGCTGCCCCGCGTCCGCCCGCCCTCGCCGCCCGGGCCCGCCCCCGGCCGGGAAGCCCCCGCGGAGCCCGCCCCCGGCCGGGAGGGCTGCGGGCTGGAGCGCCCGGCTCGCCCCTGCCCGCTGTGCCCCTGCGCCCAGCCTCCCCGGGACGCCGGGCCGGCGGGCGGCTGCGGACCGCGGCGCCCCCGGCTTTCTGCCCACCGACCGGTGCCTGACCCCCAACGTCCGGTCCCAACCCCGCGGGGCCCCGTGCGAGCCATTGCTGCTTTCAGGACCTTTGCCTCTCCCCCTGGAGGTGGTTACATCCATCCGTCCACCGGGCGCCTGTTTTGCTCTCTCCCCCTGGCCCCTATCCACTGGCTCGCCCAGGCTAATAAGCTTCTGCTTTAGTTTGCATAGACTTGCCTTTTCGCTTAAAAAATGAAAAGAAAAAGGCTACATTTTGAAAGATAGAAAGTCTGGATTTGGGAACCCGGTTATTGGTCTTTTTTTCCTCCTTTACTTTTGGGTGGGATTGCTTCTTTTGATGTTAAGATATGCAAAAGAGTCTTCTGGAAATTTCCTGAGCTCCTCAGTGGCCCAAGCTTCCTGATGTTAAGAAGGTGCTAGTGAACACGGCCAGCTGGTGGTTTAGAAATTCAAGGTTGCCTGCTTGCTTTATCGATGAAGTACTTATTAAAATGACCTGGGAGGAAATGTAGTCTCTTACAGGATTTCAGTAATTTTTTTGTCATGAAATAGCCCATGGCATGTTCACCTTGATTTCTTTTCTGTAGAAAAATGCACTTTTCTGTACAAATTTAGTTTCCATGACAACCTTGTGGGGGTGTCTTTAGTTTGCTGCAGTCCATCTACTGATCTTCCCCCCCCCCCTTCTGCTGCTAAAAGCACCAGCTGTCTGAAAAACAAACAAGAAAACAACAACTGCCTTTTTGCCTGTACTAATTCTTTTTCTAAAAAAAAAATAAAAATGTATCTTCTTGTTTTCAGAGAGGAATGGAGAGGGAGAGAGAGAAACATCAGTGACGAGAGAGAATAATTGATTGACTGCCTGCCACTCGCCCTTTTCTGGGGATCGATCTGAGACCCAGGCATGTGTTCTTGACCAGAATCGAACCTGCGACCTTTCAATCTGAAGGCCAATGCTCTATCCACTAAGCAAAACCAGTTAGGGCTGTACTGACTCTTTTTGAAATATATCGATACATTGTATCAGAAGTGTTATGGCCCTTTATTTTAGAGGTCATTTTGCTGCCCCAAACACAGGCCAAAGTCAGTGTTGGTATTATTACCCCCTCAACTGTCACTCCCGGAGGCATCTGCTCCCCTCACCAGCATCCCCTCCTCCCACCGCCCAGTGCTCACTCATGCCCACCTGTGGTCCGGTGGTGTCAGGAGGGAAGGCAGCCGGTAGAAATAGTTTTCATTCCCACATTTGCATGTGAGCTTTTTGCTTTTGCATTTTTGGTCTTGTCAAACTGTTGAAATCCAGAGCGTTTCTTGGCAATACCAATAATGCTCACGGGGCTCGTCACCTTTCCTGTTAGTAAACGGGACTGCTCATCATTCTTGCTTGAAATACCTGAAATGTGTGTTCAGTGTTGACCTGAGGTAAGTCATTAGTGGAACTTGGCCTCTTGGAGCTATAACTTCAGGATATTCTTTTACTAGAGGCTCAGTGCACGGAATCGTGCAGGTAGGGTCCCTAGGGCCTAGCCGTTGGGATCACCAGCTCATCCTCGGCTGCTTGGGGGCTCAGGCCTGCGGGAAAGCGGGCGCCGGCGAATTCGCCTCCATGTGCATGCGCCAGGCCGCCGCTGATGGGACGTGCTGCCTGCTCGGGGCCACTCACATGGGTGGCGGCGCCGCCCCGCTGCTGTCACTGCTGCTGCCGCCGAGGCTGTGGGGCGCCTGTGACTTACCCGCCTTGCTGTGAGCGGCCCTGAGCAGACTTCATCCGCAGCCAGCCCGGCACACGCACATGGAGGTGAAGTCGCCGGTTCACTTAGATTATTTGGATACGGTGATGTCCACCGATTTCTTCACTGTCTGGTTACTGTTTCCCTCTTTGTTATTAATGTCATTCTTGGAGAGATACGTTGGTTCTTAAACTTTCATCCACTGGTTTTAATATCCATTGGTGATTCTTGCCCTAAGTAATTATTATAGTGATGGTTGCAAAACTGTGATTACAAAAACATTCTCTCCAGCACTTGTTTGTTGATGATAGCCATTCTGACAGGTCTGAGATGGCACCACATTGCCATTTTGATTTGCATCTCTCTGCTGATTAGTGACTTTGAGCATGTTTTCATGTGTCTCTTGGCCTTCCTTCTGTTTTCTTTTGAAAAGTATATTAGGTCCGTTGCCCATTTAAAAAAAACAACAACATTTTATTCATTTTTTTACAGAGAAGAAGAGAGAGGGATAGAGAGTTAGAAACATCGATGAGAGGGAATCATTGATCAGCTGCCTCTTGCACACCCCCCACTGGAGATGTGCCTGCAACCAAGGTACAACTGGAATCGAACCTGGGACCCTTCAGGCTGAAGTTCTATCCACTGAGCCAAACCAGTTTCAGCCATTTTTTGATTGGGTTGTTTATCTTCCTTCTGTTAAGTTGTATGAGTTCCCTGTAGATGTTGGAGATTAAACTTTTATCAGTGATAACACTGGTAAATATGTTCTCCCATGCAGTCAACTTTCTTGTTGTGTTGATGGTTTCTTTTGCTGTGCAAAAGCTTTTTATTTTGATGTAGTCCCATTTGTTTATTTTCTCTTTAATTTCCATTGTCCTAGGAGCAGTATTAGTGTCCTAGAAGAAATTGCTTCAGCATGTCTGAGATTTTGCTGTCTGTGGATTCCTCTAGAATTTTTATGGTTGCCTGTCTTATGTTTAAGCCCTTTATCCATTTGGAGGTTATTTTGTGTATGGTGTATGCCAGTGTGTATTCTCAATCTGTTGCTTAGGTAGGAAAGCTGAGGACTTTTGTCCCTTCATTAAGTACCTGGTCATCTTACTGAGTTCCTTTTGTTTTTAGTTTTTTATTTAATTTCCTTATATATTCCAGGTCTATAATTATGATTTACAAATAACTTTCGTCTCCTTCCCAATATTATTTCTTTTATTTAGTTTCTGATTTGTAATATCTACTTCTCCCAAAACAGTTTTAAAATCACAGCAATGATAGTGGGTCTCCTTGGCTTAATTCTGACTTTAATAGGGATGACTATTTTTTCACTACGATTTGAGTATGTTAATTTAAAATTTTTTTACTACTAATGATTGCAATAAATGGTGTCTTGTTTCCATAAATGGTGTCTTGAACACACTCGTGTTTGAGTTGTGTTTTTCTTATCGTTTTGCATCCTGTTCTGTATATAGCTGAGCCGCCTTGTCAGGTCATCTCTGCTGGGTGTGCCAGGCTTGCACTGGGCTGCCCTCCTAGGAGCGTTATTAGAACGCACCCTTGTCAGCTTAAGTTTGCAGTGTTCTAGTTAATATTGGTAGCTTCTCATCGAAGTTTGAGATGAGCCTGTGCTGATGAAGATTTTATTAAAATTTTAAATTTGAATGTCTCTTTAAGAAATCTTAGTAACTGTTCATTATGCTGTGATTATTCAAAGTAACAAAATGTCAAGTATTTGATGCCATATAAGGAATAGCACAGGAAAATGTTAAGATATGGAATTACCATAGAGTCATCTGAAGAGTTTGCTCTGCCAATGTTTTTAATTAATGCCGGGTGATATCCAGCATCTAGAAGGGAACAGGAATCTGGAGAAGGTGCTGCGAGTAAATTAATGAAGAGGCTAGAGAAGAAATATAAATTTGTAATTCACAGGGGGAGCCAGAGGAAGTTCAGTTGTAATAGCTAAGTTCTCTCTACCTCCCAGCCCAAACCAGGGTTCTTTTTACTCCCACATTTTGCCCTATAGCAAAGTGGATATATATATATGTGTGTGTGTGTGTGTGTGTGTGTGTGTGATATATATATATATATATATATATATATATATATATATCTATCTATCTCAAAGGAAAGTTTTAGTATACAGTAGGCATTGTCAGTTTTGGGGAAACTACCTTCAGCTGTTCAGGTGTTTGGCCTGCAGGAGGCAATAATATGTACAGTAAAGTGCCCTCAACTGTCTGGCAGCAAGCAATCAATTATATAAATTCAGGTGTGGGGAAATGCCTTCGGCCCTTCCAGTAGGCAATAATATGTATCTTCAACCCTTGCTGAAGGCTCAAGGTTCCATCAACCTTTTTTTTAAAAAAAAAAAATATATTTTATTGATTTTACACAGAGAGTAATTGAGAAGGACAGAGAGTCAGAAACATCGATGAGAGAGAAACACCGACCAGCTGCCTCTTGCACACCCCCCACTGGGGATGTGCCCGCAACCAAGGTATGATACATGCCCTTGACCGGAATCGAACCCGGGACCTTTCAGTCTGCAGGCCGACGCTCTATCCACTGAGCCAAACCGGTCCTGGCCATCAACCTTTTGATGAAACTTCTTGCATTTATGACATGCTGGAATTAGCCTCCAGCATTTAATGACCTCAGTTTCATCAGGATGGCAGGGATCATAGGACGTTGCTAATAAGTAAGAATATTAACATTTTCATGTTAAATTGCCTCAGCAGGAACATCATTGTGTGCTTACTGTTTTTGCTGCCAAGGTACCTGTGTGTCTGTGAGAGAAAGCCTCCTCTGAAGGTTGTATTGTACCTTCTAGCAAAGTGCTGCCGAGTGGCATGGCAGGATTCGGTGAATTTGAGAGTTGTGAGCCTAAACGTGCTCTGGCCCGCTGCTGCAGTTTGACCCTTTGCTGGTGGTTTCAGGGCACAAAGCTTTGGGATGGAGCTGAGACCAGTTGTGGAAGGACATTGGTGTCACACCGCTTGTCCATTGAATTTCGGCCATTGGCGTGTCTGTGGTGTAGTGGTTTGCAGAGTGGTATGTGACTCGGGACACAGAACAAATTTAAAGTGACTCCTCTCCCCCCAAATTTAAATGGAATATTTCAAACATACAGAAAAATAATAGTAAAAATGACAACAACATATAGATAGCACTGTTCGAGTGCTCTTTCTCTCCCTCTATGTATTTTTAAATATTAACTCACTAATTCCAGCGGATAGATTGTATTATCCTTATTTTTACAGATGAAGAAACTGAGATATAGATAGGTAAAGTAACTTGCCTAAAGTTTTTGGCAAATCACAGCTGGAATTTGAACCCAGGCAGTTTGGTGCCAGAGTGCATGGTCTTAATTAATACAATATACTCTGTTGCCTTTCAGAAATACAAAAAGTATTATCATATACATGGATGATATTTAGCACCTAATTTTAACAAATGCTATCATTTGATTGTATTTGTTTCAGTTAAAAAACCCCATTGCAAAAAGACAAGTGTTTTCTCGTCATTGAGGGATTGGATTAGACACTGTCCTTGGTCTTTCCTGGACCCATCACATGGCGTTTCAGCGTTGCCCTTGCCAACACGGCCCTCCCTCGGCAGTTTGACATGATTGCCTTTCCTTCTGTCTGCCAAGCGCTCAGCAGCAGGCATTTGGGAGTATCTGCCACAGGCCAGGCTCTGTGCAGGGTGGACACAGTCAAGACGAAACCCCTTTTTGGTCATGATGCAAGTCAGAATCTTAACAGCATGGGGATGTGGGCTTACTTTAGCGCCAGGGGTGGTTCAAAACACAGACGTGGAAGGGCTGATTTTAGTGTTTGCTGTCCAGCTTGTTAGATCCTGTAGGCTTCCTGGGTCAGTAATGTAGTTAATTTATATTTATTGTCTGCATAAACTCCGGCGAGATGGCTGAATTAGGGGTGGTCTAAAATTGTTTCAGTTCAGTACGTGTTGACTTCCTTCTGGAAAGCCCTCGGCTCTGGGTTGGCTTTGAACCCACCCTGTGGGTTGAGGAACTGGTGGGTTCATTCCGGACGTCCTTCTGACGAAGCCGGGGGCCAGAGGGAAGCCAGCCCGGGTCCCAGGGGCCTGCCTGCGGCCGGAGGAGGGAAGCGTGTGCCAGGGCCGGCAGCGGGGGAAGGAAGGCCTACTCTTGACGAATTTTCGTGCCTCGGGCCTCCAGTGTTATTATAGATCCAAAAAGACAGGTAGGCTCAGGTAAGGTAAAGGTTTATCTTGTCAGTGAAGATACTGGCCTAGGAAGTAACTACCCACCATATCAACTTTTAGTTAAAGTTTAATTTCAGACCATCCTTTGTTAAGGTCTCTGAGTTTGCAAGACCACCTGCAGGCCTTTCCTGAGCTTGTCGGGTTAGCATGTGGCCCCTTTTGACCACATAGCAGATGTTAAAAATATATTTAAAAATCATAATTAATTTATTAGAATTTGAAATGTATTACTACCTCAAAAATTAGTATCAAGCATCTTGAAAGAATTTGTAAATAGAATGGATTAATAAAGTCACTTTTAGCACTGCCCTCAAGTGTTTTACTCATTATATGCATCACTACAGAATGGGGTCACTGCCCAGCCTCACTGTCCATACAGCTGCCCGATCAGGACGGGATGGGGTCACTGTCCAGCCTCACTGTCCATACAGCTGCCCGATCAGGACGGGATGGGGTCACTGTCCAGCCTCACTGTCCATACAGCTGCCCGATCAGGACGGGATGGGGTCACTGCCCAGCCTCACTGTCCATACAGCTGCCCGATCAGGACGGGGCTGGGGTCACTGTCCAGCCTCACTGTCCATACAGCTGCCCGATCGGGATGGGGCTGGGGTCACTGTCCAGCCTCACTGTCCATACAGCTGCCCGATCAGGACGGGATGGGGTCACTGTCCAGCCTCACTGTCCATACAGCTGCCCGATCAGGACGGGATGGGGTCACTGCCCAGCCTCACTGTCCATACAGCTGCCCGATCAGGACGGGGCTGGGGTCACTGTCCAGCCTCACTGTCCATACAGCTGCCCGATCAGGATGGGATGGGGTCACTGCCCAGCCTCACTGTCCATACAGCTGCCCGATCAGGGTGGGAGAGCCAGCGCATCCTTTCAGCTCTTCATTTCTAGCAGGTGGCTCTGCGTGGTGGTCCCCTGTGCCCCACCTTTAAAACAGTATCGGAGGAGACTAGCAGTGCTTTTGGAACAGGCAGTAGTGTTTTGGCATTCAGCTCCGAGGAGACTTGTGGGATCTCACACGTGCCTTGGCAGAAAACGGGCTCCTTCTGAAACCGGTGATAAGATGCTCGGTCCCATATCCTCAGCAGTGGTGGGAGCAGCTGTGACATATTCTGGGCGCTTGAAGGGCGTCATGCAGCCCCTGCAGCCGGAAGTTCGAGCAGCTGGGGAGGAAGTACTCTTCGCCCCGGGCTGCCTGGGAGCGAGGCCGCACACGAGATTTGGCTTTTTTCCCTGCAAACTGGCTGGAGGCTTTGGCAGCTTAATGAGCTCACGAGTGCCTCAGTTTCTATCTCAAAATAGTGATAATATTTACTTTCTTTACAGGGTTCTTTGTAAAGACTGAAAGAGGGGAAAAGCAGATTAAAGTTGTTAGGGACACACAAATGTGATTTATTTGTTCATATACAGAATCTTTCCAACAGAAACAAGCATACTATTTTACGTTTTTGTAACTGCTTGCTTATTCGAAACCAGTGTTTGATTCTCAGTCATTATAATTTTTTTTTTTTTTTAATTTCAAGGGAATATTTTGAGGCTCGCTTCTAGGCCGAGGAGGCTTATAGTAATGGTGTAGTGGAGTATCATTCTCACCGTGTCCGTGCCTTTGTGCTTTTAGGTACACCAAGCTTGGCTACGCGGGCAACACTGAGCCCCAGTTCATTGTTCCTTCATGTAAGTACAGCTCCTCCCTCGCGTTTATGACGGATTGTTCCTCAGAATTGTTCTAAGCATTCCCATCCTGTTCTTCAAGGCGTACCCGCCATCTCCCTGTAGAAGTTTGTCCTGGTTCCGGGGAGGGTCATTCGTTTTGACACCTAGTTCCTGAATATTGCTATTGGCTGCAGCTGTGAGCTAACGCCCCACTTCCCTCCCTCACCCCCAGCTTTCTGACAGTCCTTTGTCGCTGTCATTGAAGTTTCAGCTAGGCTCCGTGCAATCCTAAATGTCTGAATTATTTAGAAGTGTATGTGTGTCTTTAAGACTAATTTGTGATTTTTAAGTCAGTGCAGTTTTATTCACTGAGCCACTGTTCACTCTATTGAAAGACTTTTTTTTTTGAAATGAGAGGCCTGAGGACAGAGTGCTCTTCTCTTGCCTCCGCTCCAGGCCGCGGAGAGCGGGAGCTGAAGGGGCACGCGCGCTCAGTTTGGTGGCAGTGCTTCACCGCTCTGTTTCCCAGGGAGACTCCAGGCTAGGCTGGTTGTTGAGAGGGTAGAATTAGTCTCCAAAACGATTTAAGTTTTGGAGATAATTTTCCGAAGAGTGCAGTGTAGCCTAGCTGGTGTGGCTCAGTGGTTGAGTGCTGACCTATGAACCAGGAGGTCAGGGTTCGATTCCCGGTCAGGGCGCATGCCTGGGCTTCGGCCTCCATCCCCAGTGTGGAGTGTGCAGGAGGCGGCCGATCCATAGCTCTCTCTCATCTTTGATGTTCCTACCTCTCTTCCTCACCCTTCCTCTTGTTATGGAATATGGAATTTATAGAATCGGCGTGGAAGAGACTGGGGGCACTCTGAAGTTCAGGAAAGGCTTTATTCAAAGCCGCGCTGCTGGTTTGGAGAGCCTAAGATCCAGATCCTGAACAACCTGGACTGTGAGATTTCCTCTCTCTCTGTCCCTGACTTCCTTTGTTTCTTCTCTGGTGGACTCTCACAGCCCCCTCTGCCCTCGAGAATCAGGTAGAATGGTTACCTTAGACTGCATCCAATGTCCATCCTGCATGGCGCCAGTGACCTGCCTCCAATGAAGCTGTTACATCCTTGGTTTAGGCCCCTTGTAGATTGGAAGTATTTAGGTAAATAGCTCTTGCCGGACCAGAAATTAAGGGAGGGGCAGTGACTAGACTATAGGCTAACAGGAATATGCCTTAGGGACATTGATTAACTTAGGTACAGAGTTCCTGCTAGCCTCCTCATTCTTTCACCAATGGATTAATTATCTGCTAGCAAGAGAGTGCAGTAGAAAGCAGGTTTCTGAGGCTAATTCAGATTGCTAGCCCCCCAAATGTCTTATGCTCCCAGCACTCTCTGAAATAAATAAAAATAGGTTAAAAAAAAGAGTGAGGTGTATCAGTTAAGTGAAACCCTGCCTCCTAGATGTGGCTCTGGCCGGGGACTGATGATGGCAGGCTCTCCTGAGCCGTGTGGGGCGTGGACGGCTGGGAGGTGGGAGAAGGAGCGGGCTGAGTGTTACTCAGGGAAGACCAGAGACGTTCTGGTGGACATGGGCCTTCACATCACTAGAAAGCACCCATTCCATGGTGGCACGCCCTCAACAACAGGCGTGATTGGTCTGTTGCGCCCGCATTTTAAATCCATAATTTGGTGTGTAGTTTGTATCCCAGAATGGGGTCTCCAAGTCCAAAGCCAGGTGCCATCAGGGATGGTTTCTCATTGTGTGCTTGCGTGACCTTTTCTCTCTCCATGCCGATAGCTCTGGTGTCTCTTCCTTTCCTTTCCTTTCCTTTCCTTTTCCTCCCTCCCTCCCTTCCTCCCTACCTTCCTTCCTTCCTTTCTTTCTTTCTTTTTTATTTTTTTCTTCCTTTTTTTTAAATACTCATCTGAGGATATGCTTTTATTTTTAATCATTATTTTTTATATTTATTTAAATCTTTATTGTTGAAAATGTTACATATGTCCCCTTTTCTCCCCTCCAGCCTGCCCTTCCACCCCACCCCAGGCCTTTAGCACCCTATTGTCTGTATCCATGGGTTACTCATATGTGCATACAAGTTCTTTGTTTGATCACCTCCCACCCCCTCACGCCCCCCACATTCCCTCCGAGATTCCTCACTCTGTTCCATGCTTCCATGCCTCTGGATCCACTCCATCAGTGCATTTTAAAAAAAAATATATTTTTATTGATTTTACACAGAGAGGAATTGAGAGGGACAGAGAGTTAGAAACGTCGATGAGAGAGAAACATCGACCAGCTGCCTCTTGCACACCCCCCACTGGGGATGTGCCCACAACCAAGGTACATGCCCTTGACCGGAATCGAACCCGGGACCTTTCAGTCTGCAGGCCGACGCTCTATCCACTGAGCCAAACCGGTCCTGGCCATCAGTGCATTTAAAAAAAAAAAAAAAAAAAAAAAAAAAAAAAAAAATATATATATATATATATATATATATATATATATATATATATTTTATTGATTTTTTTTACAGAGAAGAAGGGAGAGAGATAGAGAGCTAGAAACGTCAACGAGAGAGAAACATCGACCAGCTGCCTCTTGCACACCCCCTACCGGGGATGTGCCCGCAACCAATGTATTGTACATGCCCTTGACCGGAATCGAACCTGGGACCTTTCAGTCCGCAGACTGACTCTCTACCACTGAGCCAAACCGGTTTCGGCTCATCAGTGCATTTTATTCATTAGATTCCACATGTGAATGTGATCAGGTGATCATTGTCTTTCTCTGACTGGCTTATTCATTCAGCATAATACTCTCTGGGTCCCTCCATGCTGTCTCATAGGGGAAGAATTCTTCTTTTTTACTGCTGCAGAGTGTTCCATAGTGTGAATGTACCACAGCCTTTTATCCACTCATCTACTGACGGGCTCTGGGGCTGTTTCCAGATCTTAGCTATTGTAAATTGTGCTGCTGTGAACATATTCTTTCTGATTGGCATTTCAGGATATATTTCTAGATTTGGGATTACTGAGTCAAATGGCAGTTCCATATTTAATTTTTTGAGGAAACTCCATACTGTTTTCCGTAGTGGCTGCACCAGGTGCTTTCCCACCAGCAGTGCACTAAGGTTCCCTTCCTGCCACATCCTCGCCAGCAGTTAGGACATGCTTTTATTGCAGTTAGAGAGAGAAAAAGGGCTAGGGAGAGACAGAGAGAACTGATGCGAGAGTGAACATTGATTACCCTGACTGGGGATCGAAGCAGCACCTGGGTATGAGCCCTGACTGGGAATTGTGTCTGTGACTTTACAGTGTGGGTTGACACACCAACCAACTTAGCCACACCTTTAAAAATATATTTGTGTTTATTTCAGAGAGGAAGGGAGAGGGAGAGAGATGTAGAAACATCAGTGATGAAAGAGAATCATCATTCAGCTGCCTTCTGCATGCCCCCACACTGGGGATTGAGCCTGCAACCCAGGCATGTGCTCTGAGCGGGACTCAAATCCTGACCTCCTGGTTCACAGATCGAAGCTCAGTAACATCAGCTGGGCTCTTGAATTTCATGCATCAGGCCTCTAGTATGAATATAAAATCTTTAATTAATCTTTGCCCCCTTCCCTCTGAGATTCATCAGTCTGTTCCATGTTTCCATACGTCTGGTTCTATTTATTCATCAGTTGATTTTGTTCATTAGATTCCTTGTTCACTTATTTTGATTTTTAAGTTCAGTTGTTGATAGATATGTATTTATTGCCATTTTATTGTATGCATTTTCTTCTTCTTTCTCATCTCTCTCCTCCTTCTCCTTCTCTCTCTCCTCCTCCTCCTTTCCTTCCTCCTCCTTCTCCTTCTCTTCCTCCTCCTTTTCTTTTTCTTCCTCCTCCTCTTCTTCCTTCTCCTCTTCTTCTGCATCCTCCTCCTCTTCCTCCTCTTTCTCCCCATCCTCCTTCACTTCCTCTTCTTAAAGACTACCTTTTAACATTTCATGTAATGTTAAAAGGTTTAGTGATGATGAACTCCTTTAGCTTTTTCTTGTCTGTGAAGCTGTTTATCTGACCTTCAATTCTGAATGATAGCTTTGCTGGTAGAGTAATTTTGGTTGTAGGTCCTTGCTGTTCATCACTTTGAATATTTCTTACCACTCCCTTTTGGCCTGCAAAATTTTTGTTGAGAAATCAGCTGACTGGATAGATGCTCCTTTGTAGGTAACTACTGTTTTTATTTTGTTGCTTTTAAGATTATCTCTTTGTCCTTAACCCTTGGCATTTTAATTATGTTGTGTCTTGGTGTGGGCCTCTTTGGGTTCCTCTTGTTTGGGGTTCTCTGTGGTTCCTGGACTTGTAGGTCTATTTCTTTCACCAGGCATGGGAAGTTGTCTGTCATTATTTATTTAAATAGGTTTTCAATATCTAGCTCTCCCTCTTCTCCCTCAGGTACCCTATAATGCAAATGTTGGTCTGCTTGAAGTTATCTCAGAAATTCTTTACACTTTCTTCATATTTTTGGATTATTTTTTTATTTTTGCTATTCTGATTGGGTGTTTTTTGCTTCCTCATATTCCAAATTGTTCATTTGATTTTTGGAATTCTCTATTCTATTGCCCTATAAATTATTTCTTATTTTAAGTAGTGTATGCTTAATTTCTTACTGCTCCCTTTTCATGTCTTAATGTTCTTACTAAGGTTCTTGAAAGTCTCACTAAGTCCCTTGAAGCCTTCATTAAGATTCTTGAGTAACCTTATAACCATGGTTTTAAACTCTGTATTAGTTTACTTGCTTCCGTTTCATTTAGTTCTTTTTTGAGATTTCTTCTGTTTTTTTCATTTGTGACATTTTTCTTTTTCTCTGCATTTTGGCTGCTTCCCTGTGTTTATTTCTATATATTGTGTAGAGCTGCTATGTCTCCTGGAATTGGTAGAGTGGATTTGTGTAGTAGGTGTCCTGTAGGGCCAAGTGGCTCAGCCTCCCCAGTCATCTGAGCTGGGCACTCTCAGTGCGCCCCTGTGTGGACTGTGTGCACAGGCTTATTGTAGTTGACCCTTCATTGCTATTGGTGTCATTAGGAGGAATTGAACTCAAGGCCAATTGGCTGTGAGGACCAGGTGCAATGACAGTGAGAGAGCTGCTGTGCAGGAGATACCCCTATGGAGCAGGACTTGCTTCAGTGGGACTTTGGTGCTCACTGAGTCGGCCCCTTGAATGTGTTGTTTGTAGATTTGTAGAGTTGTAATCTGGTGTGGTCTGAAGCTGTTCACTGGGTGCACTGCCTCTGGGAGGTGCAAAGTTAGTGACTGCCTGGAGCCACTAGGCAGGAGCTACAGAACAATCTGCAGATGGTTGCCACTTGTATTGGGTTTGGAAGTGACCAGGTGAGGCCCAGGTGTGAAGCAAGGCAGGCTGGTGCTAGTGTGACATCTTGGGTCTCTTTTTGGTAGTATGGGGCATGCTAACACCAGCTCCTGCTTGTTTTAGAGATTTTAGGAGAGTCTGAAGCCTGAGCCAGGAGAGCCCATTCATATCGACAAGCTGCTGCAAGCATCATGGGTAGGGCTGTAAATTGGATGGGGTGGGGTCTCAGGGAATCGCCAGGGCCTGGCGAACAGCGTGAGCCAAGCTGATGGAAACTCAGATATGGTTGCCAGTTAGTTCTGTGACAGGGGGAGGTACCAGCACAGGAACAATGACCAGGACCCCTGCAAGCACCCCTGTCTGGGAGAAAGCCACCCCCTGAGTTCCTGCCCCAATGTCAGAGAGTCTAGTACCTTCCATATTTCCCTGGCTCCCCCAATGCTACTGCCCCAGAGCTCAGAGAAAGTGGACTGTGTAAGTCTGTGTGCCTTTAAGAGGAATACCTGTGTCTACTTAGCCATAATCCCCACTGGTTTTCACAGCCTGAAGTTACAGAGATTTTTCTTCCCAGCTCTGGAACCCTGGACTGGGGAGTCTGGTATGGGGCCTGGACCTCTTGCTCCTCATGAGAGGCCTCTGCAGCCACAATACCTCTCCCAATTTAAAACACACACACACACACACACACACACACACACACACACACACACACACAAATGGGGCGTCGGACCAGGCCGGTTCTGAACCTCCGCCCTCCTAACAGTCTCAATGTGCTCTCTTCTTTACTTCTCTAGTTGTGGGACTTCCATTCAGCCAGATATCAGTGGTTCTGAATGATGGTGGTTCTGTATTTTAGTTGTAATTTTGATTGTGGGAGGCAACAAGTACCAATGTTTACCTACCCCACCATCTTCGTTCTCCCCCTAAATTTGGAACCCCTTTGTAAATTATTGAAATAAATGTGGATAGTGAAGGAAATATTTTTCCTTTTTTTTTTAAGGTATTGCTGTCAGAGAGTCGGCAAAGGTAGTTGACCAAGCACAAAGGAAGGTGTTGAGGGGCGTGGATGATCTGGACTTTTTCATTGGGGATGAAGCCATCGATAAACCCACATACGCCACCAAGGTGAGCCCAGATGGGAATGGCTTCAGTGAGTAGCCAGGATGAGCTGAGAATGGCAGATTATATAGAAAGTGTGCTGGGAGTTAAATGTGTTTTTATCCTTATGTTTGTAAAGAGGTTTTGTTGTTTGGATGTGGGGAAGGGGGTGGATTTTCAGAGTTGGTATACAATCTGGACTCAGGCTGGCATGTGAAGGTAGGTCCTGCTGAGATGGAAAATCACAGGTTGAGTAAAGGACCTGTTAGATATGGAAAGTTGCAGATTGATTAATTAAAGAGAAGCACTAAAATTAAAATTATTTAAGTAGACGTTTGTTCTAAAAAACACACCCTAAAAAACAGAACCTCCCAGTCAGTGGGACGGTGGATTAGCTGCACTTGCACTTGCCACTCGGCTGTTCAGACGTTCTTGGTTCTTAGAAATGGGTGGAGTTAGAGAATCAACGATTACATAACAGCCTTTCTGTTAAAGTGTCTGTCTTTTCTCTGTGGGACTAACATTCAGGTCATGCAAAGGGGACCTGATTCTGTAGTTGTTCAGTCTCCCCGTCTTGTCGTTAGAGTTGCTCTCACTGATGTGAACCGAGCTTGACATACTTGGTTTCTCTTGGGTTAGTGGCCAATAAGACATGGAATAATCGAAGACTGGGATCTTATGGAAAGGTTCATGGAACATGTGATTTTTAAATATCTTCGAGCTGAACCTGAGGATCATTACTTCTTACTGGTGAGTAATTGGGACTAATAGCCGCATAAATTCCCAAGTGCTTGCATTTAACCAGTTAACCACCGTGTGTCCAAAACCATCCTCACACGCCATGATATTTTGAATTTAATTAAAAAAGGTCCGCTGCTTGTGTCTATAGATGCTTATGGCGTACAAATGGTTAAACTCAAGATAGCATTCCCTGGGGAGTCTTTATTTCTGCTAAAGCAACTTATATGAATCAGGATGCTTTTTTGGGCAAATAATGGAACAGTCAGCAAAAATGTCTGATGCCAGGAAGGGCTCATTATCTCACTCAACAGGCAGCCTCTAGTTGAGTGGTTCCAGGGCAGGTCACCTTAGCCCCTCAGGGACAGAAGCGAGGGCTGGCCCAGTGTGCCAGCTGGGCCTCCTGTGTGGTCCCCTCAGGCCCAGCCCACTAGGTTTCCATGCGTTAGTATCTGTGCTTTCAGAAAGAGGCTCACCTTTTAGATTTCCAGGAACCTTTCTAGCAGATTGGCCCACCATTCTCTCCCTGCGGCTGGGAGGGGACCCTCCCTGACCATGTGGCCCTGGAGGGTAGGGACTTAAACAGGCCTCCAGCAGCCAGGGAGGTGGAGGGAGGGATTGGTTGGGTAGGAACAGCTGTGTACTTAGATGGCTCCATGAAGTAACTGGGTGGCTGTGATTTTTTGCTTCTTACAACAGAGGAAACCGAGGCAAGGTGTTATTTTGCCGTGGTTTAAGTCTTACTGCAAAATAAAATTGAGTGGGGTTATGGACCCTGATTATGTCACTTGATCTTATTTAAACAAAATAAACAATTACAGAGAAAAGAGAAGAATTATGTCTTGATTATGGATTCTGTTCTAATTGTTATACTCAATATTATGGGTTTTCTTCCATGAAATATTCTTTTCAAGTTAGAATTAATTACATGTACAAAACTCATGCGCCACAGAGAGCAATTGCATGTAAACCGCCTGTTAAAACCTGTGTAATTTAGCTGTCCAGGCTGAGCACTGTGCTTTCCAGGCACCTGGGGCCCTCCCGTGTCCCTCCAGTGGTTCCTGTGAAGTAAACGGAGCCAGGAAGTGACAGTTCTGAGTGGCTTTGTCTTTGTAGCCAAAACAAATCACAGATGCCCACCTGTCAGGTTTGGCACTTTTCCTTCTCTAGTGCACACATGGCTACCTGTTGGACAGGATTTTAGGAGCGGGCACTGTGCCCAGCCGCTTCCTTCTGCCTGCTCGGCTCACTGTGCCAGCATTGTCCCTCCGACTCCACCTGAGGGCATCTTCCAGAGGCCTGTGGAGCAGATGCCAGGACAGCCCATAGGAAATGTCTCCTATTTCTATTTTATTTTTTCGAATTTAGCTGGCATATGTAGGCCAGTAAGCTAAAATCACTTGCCAGGAAAGAATTGGGTGTTTGGTGTGAATGTGGAAATGCTAAAGCCCATTTGCCAAAAATGAACATCTGCGGAGAAGGTTCAAAAATAATCAAGTTTATTAAAGATAAGAAAACACTGTGCTATCTACGTTGTGTTTTGGATGCCACAGGTTGGTTCAGTGCGTGGTGTGCCTGAGGGAGTGGAGATGTGCCTTTCTCTCAGGCGTCTGCCCGCACCATCGGTCACTGCAGCAGTGACTGGGGTACGGCGGTGTACACGTTTACAGCCGAGCCACCGACGTTCATTGAAGACATTTACTGACCGGCTCCATCAGATGAGGGCTTCTCCGTGAGGCTCCGAGTTCTAACTTCTGTGTCCTTCAGCAGCCGCAGGGTCCTTTCTGACTGCTGACAGGCATCGGGGCAGGGGTGCCCCTCAGGCTCCCAGTGTTCACATGGTTCCCGAGGTTACTGGCTGTGAGTCCTGAGCAGAGCCAATGGGAGCCACTGTGCCCCGGAACTGCCCTGTGTCCAAACCAGAGTATGGGTTTCAGAGAACTGCGGGCCTGGGGAGCAGAAATTGAGGTTTATTTTTCTTTATTTTTTCCATCACCATTTATCCCCTCTATGCCCACTCCCCCCACCCCTCCATCACCACACTGTTGTCCATGTCTTCTCTCTCTTTCCTTTGTTTTGCTCAGTCCCTCCAACTCACTCCCTTCCCACCCCCCTAACTCCTCCCATCTAGAAATTGAGTTTTAACTTCAGAAAAGATTTGGAAACTTTGACTATGAGTTGAGCAAGAAAGAGGAAAGAAGAGAGGGAATATCAGCCTTCTACGGTCTTGTTGCTCCATTCGGTCCTTGGTGGTTGTGGGTGATGCCGCCCACGTGAGGGGACAGCTCTCACTCGGTCTGTTGAATGCTCGCCTCTCCCACCACATCCCAGACTGCTAGTTAGGGGCGCATCCTGCGCCCAGTCGGGCACAGCGCAGTGGGCCTTCCATGCGGCGTGTCCTGGTGTAGGGACGTCCCCTCCCTGCTTCCTGAGGGTGCAGCCCTGCTCGGTCGAGTTGCCGCCAGCAGAGCCAAGGCTATTTCTTGGGTTTGCTCAGTTCCTAGAGGCCCACCTGCTTTCCAGCCTCCAGCGTGTTGTCATCTCCTCCCTGACCTCCCTGTCCTCCCTTCCTTGAGGATTTATAGTTTTTAAAAAATATGCATTTTTGTTGATTTCAGAGAGGGAGAGGGAGAGAGAGAAACATCAGTGATGAGAAAGAATCATTGAGCGGCTGCCTCCTGCACATCCCACACTGGGAATCAAGCCTGCAACCCGGGTATGTGCTCTGACTGGGAATCAAACCGTGACCTCCTGGTTCATGGGCAGCAACTCAACCACTGAGCCATGCCGCCAGGCAGGGATGTATAGTTGTTTTTAAAAATATATATTTTACTGATTTTTTACAGAGAATAAGGGAGAGGGATAGAGATTTAGAAACATGGATGAGAGAGAAATATCGATCAGCTGCCTCCTACACAACCCCTACTGGGGATGTGCCCGCAACCAAGGTACATGCCCTTGACCGGAATTGAACCTAGGACCCTTCAGTCTGCAGGTCGACATTCTATCTACTGAGCCAAACCAGTCAGGACTATAATTGTGTTTTTTTCTACCACGTGGGACATGATTATATCATATATTCATAAAGCTTCCCAATTACAAAGCACTTCCCCTTTTTAAAAAATTCTTTAGTGCTGAAAGTATTACATATGCCCCCCTTTCCCCCATTGATCCCCTCTAGTTCGCCCTCCCCAGGCCTATAGTTTTAAAAAAGGTTTTGTTGCTGCAGTTACAGAGGAGATTGGGGAGGGGCAGTATTAGATCCAGGTGTACAGTTTGCTGGCTTAATCCAGAACTAGGTATTGGTTTTTTATGACAGTGACTATTCATCTGGAATCAATACCAGATGATATTTTACCATTTTTTTTTTTAAAGAAAATGTATTTGTATTGATTTCAGAGAAGAAGGGAGAGGAGTTAGAAACATGATGTGAGAGAATCATTGATTGGCTACCTCTTGCATGCCCCTTCTGGGGATAGACCCGAAACCCGAGCATGTGCCTTTGATCGGAATTGAACCCGGGACCCTTCAGTCTGTAGGCTGACACTCTATCCACTGAACCAAACCAGCCAGGGCTATTTTACCCATAATTCTGATGTTGGTAATGCTTGAAGTTGTCCTAGAGGCTCCTTACACTATCTTTATATTTTTGGATTCTTTTTTCTTTTTGCTTTTCCGGTTGGGTGTTTTTTGCTTCTCTGTATTTCAAATTTTTGACTTGATTCTTGCAATCCTCTAGTCTGCTGTTGGATCTCTGTATTTTATTCTTTATTTCAGTCAGTGTATGCTTAATTTCTAGTTGATTCTTTTTCATATCCTTGTGGGTCTCACTAAATTTATCGGCCTTTTTCTAGGAAATTCTTGAAAAATTTTATAACGATGGTTTTGAACTCTATATCCAGTAGTTTGCTTTCCTCCATTTCTTCCATTTGTGACCTGTTTCTTTGTCTCCACATTTTGGCTGCTTCCCTGAGTTGATAGAGTGGCTTTGTGTACTAGGTGTCTTATAGGGCCCAGTTGCTCAGCCTCCCCAGTTACCTGAGGTAGACACTCTTAGGGCACCCTTTTGTGACCTGTGTGAACAGTCTTGTAGTTAAGCCTTGATTGCTGTTGGCATCACTGGGAGGAATTGATTTCCAGGCCAATTGGTTACAAGGACCAGCTGTGTCTATGATGGGAGAGCTTCTGTGCTGGAGACACCCTTATGAGGCAAGACTTGTTTCAGTGGGGCTTTGGTGCTCACTGAGTCTGCCCCCTGAGTGTGTCTCTTATGGATCTGAGGAGTTGTAATCTGGATGGTTCTATTTTGACCCGTGGGTACACTGGCTCTTGGATCTCTAAGGAGAAGCTAATTTAGATTCTGTCTGAGGCCACCAAGCAGGAGCTATGGAGAGATCTACAGATTCATCTTCTTTGTTTGGGTTTTGGAGGTGCCCAGATGAGGCCCAGCTGTGAAGCAATGCAAGTTGCTGTAGGGCCTTGGGCTTTCTTTTGGATGTTCTGGGTCTCACTGACTCAGATGCAGTTTGATAGGTAAGTATAAAAGTCAAAGGACCAGGCCATTCATATGCAAAAGCCTCTATGCACTCAGCTTGGATGGGGCGGAGTCTCAGGGAGGAACAAACAACAGTGGCTTCCCATCAGCCCTGCCCTAAGAGGTCCCTGGGTCTCAGTGTCCCTTGGTAGTCACTGCAAGCACCTCTTGAGAGAAAGCCACCCTCAAGTTCTACCCACTGCCAGACAGTCCAGTTTCTCCCTGTATGAGTCTGTATCCCCAGAGTCTCACCCAGAACTGGAGTTCAGAGCAGTCAGGAGCTTGTCTCTCCCTGCAGATTGAAAAAGCCAGCCACGTACTCAGTTGCCAGCCCTCTCTGTGCACACGCCTCTGTACCTCTGCCTTCCGCACTTCCTCTGAGTCCCAGTGTGCTTTTCTCTTCCCTGATAGTTGTAGAATTTCCACTGAGCCAGCCTTCCTGTGGTTCTGGATGATGATGATGATGTGTGTTTTTTTGTAGTTTTTTTTTTAAAGATATTATTTTAAAAATATATTTTATTGATTTTTTACAGAGAGGAAGGGAGAGGGATAGAGAGTTAGAAACATCGATGAGAGAGGAACATCGATCAGCTGCCTCCTGCATACCCCCGCACTGGGGATGTGCCTGCAACCGAGGCACAGGCCCTTGACCGGAATCGAACCTGGGATGCTTGAGTCTGCAGGCCGATGCTCTATCCACTGAGCCCAACTGGTCAGAGCTTTAATTGTAGTTTTGAAGTGGTTGTGTGCGGCAGCAGGTTCAGGTGCTTACCCATGCCGCCATCTTGATTTCTCCGCATTGCTCTGAATGAGGAACATTTTTGCTGGATTAGCTGTGTGTGTGGTTTTGGCTGGGGTGGGGGTAAGGGGCACAGTGAGGGCGAAGCTCCTTTTCTCTGGGGCTCTGCCTCGCAGCTGGTGGCTAAGGCATTTGTCTGAGCTTGCTCTGGGCTCTGGTGGCAGGGGTTTGGCAGCGTCTGCCGCTGTCCCGCTCAGTTGGCTCTTGCTCGAAGCAGGGCTGCCTGCCTGTGCTCTGAACTCTGCCCTTCTCCTAGACCTGACGTCCTGGTGTCCCCAGGGTGCCCTCCCGGTCCAGCTGGGTGTTTCTTGCCCATGGCGGGTCTGTTCAGTGTCAGGCTGTTCAGGTGTGATGCTGGCAAAGACCAAGCTCTCTTCTCCATCACTCACTCTTGGTCTGGGTGGTCACAGGAGCAGCATTGTTCAGAGAGGGCTTTACTTCCAGGTTTTGAGCCCCACAGTCAGGTTTCATTTTTTTTTTTTAATTGGTTTCAGAGAGGAAGGGAGAAGGAGAGACAGAAAGGTCAATGATGAGGGAAAATCACGAATCTACCACCTTCTGCCACCCCTGCTGGGGATTGGGCCTGCAACTGGGCATGTGCCTTGACTTTCTGGTTCCTAGGTCGAAGCTCAACCACTGAGCCATGCTGCCCAGGCCAGGTTTAAGGAACTACGCTGCTTATTCCATCTGTAAAGGAAGGGTGCTCTACAGCATCCTGATGATCATGCTCTTAAGTTCTGACGCAATTATATGAAATCTGGGCAGATACTGACCACAGTGACTGCTTTCTTACAGACAGAACCTCCGCTGAACACACCAGAAAATAGAGAATATCTTGTAGAAATTATGTTTGAATCTTTTAATGTGCCAGGACTCTACACTGCAGTTCAGGTAAAAGCAAAGTTATTTTTATGGTTTCCAAAGGACCTTCACGTCTAATATCTACAGGACGGCATGATGATTCCACAGGCTCTCTCTTAGGAGATAGGGCTGTGTGTTCTTCCTTTCTCCTTTCTCTCAACACACACACAGCACACGGAGACACAGACACACACATTTACAGACACACAGACACACAGGATAGACACATATATTCACAGACACACAAACACAGGACGGACACACACATTCACAGACACAGGACAGACACACTCATTCACAGACACACAGACACACACAGAAGACAGACACTCATACTTACATACACCCTACTCCGCATTCATCTCTGTCCATGGTCTCCAGCCTCAGGGTGGGATGGACAGTTCTCTGTGTTAGCAGCCTCTGGCCTGGACCCCTAGAAAGAGCATCCGCCTGGTCTCCCCAAGTGTGACAGACACAGCATCAGGCCTCCCCAGTGTTCTGGGGGCAGATGGCCCTGGTGGGGAACCAGTGTCTGGGTGAGGCCAGTGAACTGCAGCCGTCAGTCCGTCCGTGGACCCGCACTGGGAACGGTGGGCAAGAAACACCACCCTCTGATTCCATAGTAAAATCCCCATCTCACTGGCTTTTTTTGGGTAAAAATTGATTTATTTTATTGAAAACTTGAGTCCTCCAGTTTAAGTACACATGGTCCTTGTCCGGTGTGATTTGAATTTTGGGGGCAGGTGAAGATGAAGAGGGGGAGTTAGACTCGCTCAGTGAGAGGGCCCGATTGCCTGACCTGAGGATGAGTGTGCAGAGGACTGAGGACGCCCGGGCTGACTGAGGACGCTCGTGTCCTTCCAGGCAGTGCTGCCCTTGGCGGCGTCCTGGACGTCTCGGCAGGTCGGCGAGCGCACGCTGACCGGCATCATCATCGACAGCGGGGACGGGGTCACCCACGCCATCCCAGTGGTAAGCAGACTGTCAGTGCTTCTCTTTGTAGGACTCACCGGAAGAGAGGTAAGGGAACAGTTAAAGGAAAGAAAAGCTTTCCTGCTTAAAATACCACTTTTAAAGTCATAGCTGTACTTAGACCAGGGAATAAGAGGAGAAAAAAATCTGTGGCCTTCTCATTTTTAAATGTGCGGGGGCAGCTAGCTTCTGCTGTCGGACGGCAGCCATTGGGTGGGGTCAACAGAACTCTGCCTGGCCCCTGGGGTCACGGGGTCACGGCCCCCGGGGGCTTTTCCTGCTCACCTTCCGAGCCTGGGGCAGACGTCATCTGGGAATCGGTTTGTAAGCATGGCGCCTGGCCGCCGGAGGACTCTCTCTGTTCGGGACAGGACGTGGTGGCTTTCTCCAGCTCTCTCTGGACCAGGCCTGCTGGTGTGGAGAATGGTCTAAGATAGGGGTGTCGAACTCAATCAGAGAAGGGGCCAAAATCTAAAATCCAGCCTAAATCGCGGGCCGAATGGTTTACTGAACAGTCATAAACTATCATTGTGATGGAAACACAGCGGAGTGCAGTGATGACAGCGCGGTGCGGGCCACATTGCAAGGCCTGGCGGGACGGATTTGGCCCGCGGACCTTGTGTTTGACACAAGAGCTGAGGGGAGGATGGCACCTTCCGACTTGCAGAGTGCTCTCTCTGCCGGGCCACTTTCTGGTTTTACATTCCAGAACGTTAGAGAAGTGACTCCTCATTGGGGCTCTAGGAGACTTCTGTCCGTGTCCTCCCCCGCCCCCCCAGCTATTTAAATGACTTGTTCGAAGTTGTTCTTTGGGAAGAAATTGACACTCTCTGGAGAGGGTGTCCAGGGAGAGTCACCGGCTCTCGTTCCCGATCTCCCCTTCAGGCCCTCCTCCCAGATGCACCGCTTACTGGGTATCACGTTTATTACAAGTACGCGGTCTGCATGTGCAGGTGTGTGTATGTATGAGGCCTGCGGAAAAGGCAAACTAGGGCTTTTTAAAAAACAACTCATTTACGACCTCAGGTTTCAGGAGGTCTCAGTGAGGATGTGCTCATGTGCTTTAATTCTGGGTCAGAACGGGAACAGGGCAGACGGTGGACGTGCCCTCAGTCGGGGTGCGCTCTGCAGCAGCATCTGGAGGGACGGGCTCTCTGCTGGGCGCCCGCAGCTGGTCTCACCCCTCGCTCCTGTAGGAATCGCTGAGGCCTGTCCATGCCGCTGCCCTGAGAGCAGTGCTGACCAAGGAGCCAGCGTCTGCCCCTTCTCAGGTCCTCCCCTCAGAGGCCAGTGAGGACGGACCCGCTGGGCCTGCTGCCCTCTCTCCCGGGATCCGATTGAGGAGGAGAAAGGAAAACTGGTTCACTCGGTGTCGAGGCCCACAGAGAAAGTGGCTTTAACATTTTTGTCTGTGTCATAATTCAGTGTTTTCCCAAAAAATGATATGTACAAAATTGGAGTGAAATGGAGAAATGTGAAGGAGGAAGTAGAATACCCGTGAACTTACCCAGAGGGCACTGGGCTTTGGTTGCAGAGCCTTCTAAGCTTGTTTCCTAGACACAACGCCTGCACGTTTTCAGCGAAATGGGAACATCGTGTTTCCGGTTCTGTGTCCTGATTGTACAGTATAACCCTAACATTATAGCTTGCGTGCTGACTTATCCCTAATAGTGCTGCTTATGGCTGAATATTCTGTGAAAATACTTAGTAGCTACGTAACAGCCCATCTGGGGAGTCCAGCCTAATTCACTGCCTGCCTGTCGTTGGATGGGGTGTAGGACGGGGGTGTAGAGTGTTTTGAGTCTGAGACCAAGCTCATGTTGTCAAACTTTTAGAAAGTGTGAGGCATGGAGTGTGATAATTGTGAATGGTTTGTTAGCTGATATTCCTAAGATTTTAAGTTGATCTTCACTATTTTAATAATTTGGACGTATCTTTTATCTCCCTCTTTTCCCTCCTTCCTTAAAATATTTTACAAATAGCTTAGACTGTGGGAAGCCACATCTTCTTACTTCCGGACGGTAGGCACGTCAGAAAGGAACCCGGGGGCTCAGCAGCTTGTCCTGGCGCCCTCCCGTGGCTCTGCCTGGTGGCTGTCGCCACAGAGCGCAGTCCGTGGTCCCTGCCAGGCCCTCCGTGGCCCAGGGCGTGGGGCAGGGAAGCATGCTGTCCTGGGGACGAGTGCCACGTCCTTTCCTGTGACCCTGTGGTGGGAGGATCCACTCTGACCACCGGCCCCTGTCGGGGAGCTGGGTGTGCCCGGCCTGGGGCTTCCCGGGACAGCCTCCCCTCAGGAGGGCTGGGAGGGGCTGGTGCTGGCCCGCAGACAGTGCCACCACAGTCCAGGAAGGCCCCAGGGCGGGGGCCTGACTACCCAAGGCCGACACAGTGTTAGGGGAACTGCAGAGTCACTCCTGCCCCACACCCGGGGCTGTTCACTGGGAGCTTAGTGATGCCCTCGGTGCTGGTGCTGGGCCTGCCAGGCCGCACTGACTGTTGTAACCCCAGCGGATCATTTGCCCCACATTGGACGGAGGTCCCAGCTTGAAGCCTGTTAACAGGTCCTTAAATAAAAGTAGACTTACAGTTGGCTTAGCAGTTTACAGGTAAAACTCTTCCTGTTAAGAAGTAGTTGGGTTGGATTTTTGGTTCTGATATGCAGCATCCAGTTTTGGAATGTGGTTTTCCGAGCATGTTCCTGAGGAAAGCACCGTTCTGGCTGCTTGGGGGGGCCCCCCCACCCCCAGCAGGTCATGGTCACGGGATTGGGAAGCAGGCCTCGCCTGCGGAGCCACGTGGGGATCTGTAAATGTGTGTCAGGGCCGAGAGGGCAGGAGCCTTGGGAGCCGGTGGCCGCGGGCTTGCTCACAGTCTTCTGCCTCCTCTCTTCCCCAGGTGGAAGGTTACGTAATCGGAAGCTGCATCAAACACATCCCGATCGCAGGTAGAGATATTACGTATTTCATTCAACAGCTGCTAAGGGAGCGGGAGGTGGGAATCCCTCCTGAGCAGTCACTGGAGACCGCAAAAGCCATTAAGGTAAAAACAGACGGGGAATGGGCTGGTTTGGGGTGAAGGAGAAATGGGCTGCACCCCTCCCTGCTGCCGCCACCCTGCTCCCACCCTCCTTCCTCTCCCGCTCCCTCTCCGGAATATGGTCCTGATCCATTTGGAGTTCAGTAAGGGCTGACAAACGGACAGCTCAGGCCCTCCTGGGAACAGCCGTGGAAGCCCCAGCGCAGATGAGAACCGCTTGATGGCCAGGCAGAGCCTGCGTGCGGGTGCAGCCTCACGACTGGAGCCTGATTCGACAGCCTCCAGGCACCGAGTCTTCCGCTCCTCCGCGGCTGGCACTGGCAGCAGCAGCAGTGACGCCAGGGTCCTGGGTATCGGCCAGTGTCAAACGTGTTCCCATCCCTGTTGTGTGGTTTGCACCCCCTTAACGGCTGTTCAGAACAATCCATTCTCGGCTCTAGAATCACGAAGCACAGTCCACTTATATTTACTGGACCCTAGTTACCATGCTAAAAAGGTACAGGAAGTTTTAAAAGGAAATCAGTTTGGTAAGAAGGAGCATGGCTTGTCAGGACATGTTTAAATGCTCATGGACCAGTTTAGTCTGTTACCATGTCCATTTCAGCTGACACACCCTTTTAAGGGAACTTTTCAAGTTGCAAAAGGACAGACGATTACATTTCTAGTAAAAATACAAGAGATTCTCAAGAAGGCAAGGATAACTACTGTGTAGATGAAGAGAGAGGATTTAGTGTGTTTTTGAAGAAGAATTTCGCGTGGGTGTGCCGTGAGCTTGAGCGTCTCCTGTCACGTTGAGCTGCCGTGGGAGTGAGGGCGCTCCCCACTGTGTTCCTTGGCTTAGCCCCCGGGAACCTGCCGGCTGAAGGACAGGCAGCATCATAGACGGCCCACATTTGCACGGCATTCTGGGTAGCAACAGAGGGAGTTTCAGGGTGGGGGCACTGGTGTAGGTCAGGGCTCCGGCAAGCCAGGTGGCCAGCTGCCCCGCTGTCCTGGGGCCACGGTTTCCCGGGATGGGCTCATTTCACTGGGCAGCGCAGCCCCAGCAGACCGGGAGACTTCGCCCTTCCCAGCTGGGGAGCGGTGAGCCAAGTATCAGACTTTCTTTTTAGACTAAAATGCTTCCCAAGAACTCCCCTCGTCCTTTCCCGGCCTTTTTTTTTTAGTGAAAAAAAATAAAATAAAGAGATTTGACCCAAGCGCTCTTGCCACCCCCTATCTGTGACAAATGTCAATCAGAATGGAGCCCCTTGTTTCTGACACTCGGGATCGAGCTGGGGAGCGTGAGTCAAGAGTCCTGAGTGTCATGGCGCAGGAGGTTGCTTTCCGGTCCTCACAGTGGCATTGCTTTACTCACTGGCTCTCTGGGTCCTCTCCTCGCGCTGAATTCAGCGCTGGCTGTTGAGGCTGCAGAGGTCAGGAGGAAAGAGACTCCTTAGGTAAAGCTCTCGATGAGCTGCCCTGGCCTCTGGGTGGCTGTGGCCCTGCTGTTGGTTCCCGCCTCACTTCTCTGGGTGAAGGAAGGGACCCTGGAGTGCGTGGGGCAGAAGTGCCTGCCCCGTGTTACTGCGTGGCCCTGGCCGTGGGCATGAGCAGGCCGGAGGCTGTGTGGGTTCTCATAGTGTGAGTTCAGAACACCAGTCCAGCCTGCACACTCCACCCACCTTCCCATGAAGGCTCCGTGCTGTCCCTGGGCCAGGCGAGGTGCTGAGGACATGGACCATGCTTCCGAGGACAGCTCCATGCTCTGTCTCCACCTGGCAGGCTGAACTGTGTCGAAGGGCTCACTCTCGTCAGGAACACAGTTTGTACAAACAAACTCTGCCCCCAGTCTTACAATTATGTTGAGGTTGAAATGGAAATATGGTTTGGAGAGTCCAGCAAACTTCAAACTTCACAGCAGAAACACCTTCAGAGATCCTTCCAAAGGTGTAAGAGGGCCAGGTGCTGCCTTCCCACCGTGGGGTGGGGGCACCGTCTATGCGGGGAGTAGGACGGACCAGCGGGTGCAGATCACAGGAAGACACTGAAGCCATTCTGGGTGCCTACATATTCCTGAGGGGGCATGGTGTGAGTGTCTCCATGGTGATCTGTAGCTGCTCTGCCAGTCTCGCTCCTTGTGTACCAGGTGCCCCCCTCTGCCATCTGCCCACAGGAAGCTGACTTTCAGAAGCTGGTACTCATGTGCCACCTGCAGCTGACAGAGGTTAGCTCTGAGGACAGGTGCCCTCCCAAAGAGCCCAGAGGAGACATTGCATGTGTAGGCTGGTGGTTCAAGGTGAAAGCCCGGCACGTTCTTGCAGCAGCAGCGGCAGCATGGGCCAGTCCTGCCTGCGTGTGCCTCTTCCTTCTCCGGGGCCCTCCCGCCTATAACCTGCCGCGTCCCTGCTTGTTAGGGACTCTCAGCCAGAGCGCTTGCCCCCGGCCAGGATCTGTGTCTGTTCACTCCTGCAGCCCGCACCTCAGCCGTGAGGACTCTCCGTCTTCACCGGGCGGCTGATGGCCGTGCTGTGCTGTGGCTGCACAGCAGGGTGACAGCTGGTGGTGGCTGCGGCGCTGTCAGGCTGTCTGCCATGTTCAGTGGGCGGGGCTGCAGTGCAGGCCAGCTGGTCCAGGATCATCGTGGTGGGTACCCGGGGCAGGTGCCATGTGGGCGCCTTAGAGGAACAAAGAAAGAGGTGATGGAGACAACATACTTAGTAGACACCTGAAACAAGCAGCTTCACAGGTCCAGCATCAAAGCGTAGCCATGTCTTGTGTGAAGGATGACGTGTGAGGCTTAGCACGTCCACATTGGCGAGGTGTGTGGCAGGACTCCCTTCAGGGGTGTGTTCAATGCGTGGGTGGCTGGGTGTTTGCCGGAGGCTCTGGGTTGGTTGTTAATGCCTGTGACGTCTTTGTGTGTGTGCACGCAGGAGAAGTACTGTTACACCTGTCCTGACATCGTCAAGGAATTTGCCAAGTACGACCTGGATCCCGGGAGCTGGATGAAGCAGTACACAGGCATCAAGGCCATCAGCCAGAGGAAGTTCCTGGTGGATGTGAGCTACGAGCGGTTCCTGGGCCCCGAGATTTCCTTCCGCCCCGCGGTGAGGTGCTGGCCTGCGGTGGTGAAGCACACCGTGTGTGGGAATGCTGCCACCTCGTGTGTAAAGCTGGTGCCGTCACTGAGCCGGCTGACTGACAGCCGTGAGCACAGGCCCTGTGTGACCGACTGCGCCCCTTGCTGCACAGGTTTGGTTATCTGCAGTAGGAGCCATTGATTACGCCGTGAGTGGCTAGGAGGAAGTTTGAAGGGCAGTGGGGGTAATGGAATTGAAATGAATCGCTCACTGATATAAAAATGAGTTGCCTCTGTATCAGAGGGGATGATGTACCGTTCCCTTTCCATCCGAATTCCCTTTCTAACCAGGATACCTGCTGCCGTGTCCCCGCTGACGCTTAGTCAAGGCTTGTGCCTGAGGGCTGTCTGTCAGAATCACAGCTGTCGCCTTGTAGCTGGGAGTCACAAATTACGACTTTTTTGGAAGCGGTAATTAAGGGGCAGCATTTTATTATTTATTTATTTTTTTACAAGTTTTTTTTTTTTTTTTTTTAAATATTTTTGATTTTTTACAGAGAGGAAGGGGGAGAGAGAGAGAGAGAGAGAGAGAAAGAGAGAGAGAGAGAGAGCGAGCTAGAAACGTCAATGAGAGAGAAACATTGACCAGCTGCCCCTTGCACAGCCCCCTACTGGGGATGTGCCCGCAACCAACGTACATGCCCCTGACCAGAATCGAGCCTGGGATTTTTCAGTCTGCAGACTGACGCTCTACCACTGAGCCAAACCGGTTTCGGCAAGGGGCAGCATTTTAAAGTTTAAATAAAATGCACTTAAAATATTTCAGTATATTTTCCTGCCTGATTCAGTTTGTGTTTAATAGGTAGATTGCAGACTGCTACTTGTTTTTCAGATGTGCATAGAACTATTTTGTACTGGGACCTGGCACAAAACGTGTCCAGTACTGTAATCTAATAACACCACACTCCTCCCCTCCTGCCCTCGATATCAGTGATTGGAATAGACATGAAGCCGCCGTGTCCAGGGAGCAGCGGGGAGCAGCTGATGTGACCTCCTCCCAGCACTATGCACATTGAGGCTTTCCTTTGACTTTTAAAACATGTTTCAAACGGAATGTCCGTGCTCTTTCCTCAGATTAAATCCCCTAAGGTAAATAAGATAAAAAAAGTTTTGGTTAATACTCAGCCACAGCTATTTTCCCATTGATGTTTTAGAGAGTGGAAAGAAGGGGCCGAGACACAGAGAGAGAAACATTGATGTGAGAGAGACACAATGATCGGTTGCCTCCTGCATGGACCCAGGGCGGGGGATTGGACCTGCAAACGAGATATGTGCCCTTGACTGGAATTTAACCTGGACTTTTCAGTCTGCAGGCCATCACACACCGGCCAGGGCATTGTCACATTAAAAAAAAATATCCTCACCCAAGGATTTGTTTTTCATTGACTCTAGAGAGAGAGAGGAAAGGAGAGGGAGGGAGGAAGGGAAGGAAGGGGGAGAAAGAGGGGGAGAGAAGGGGAGAGAGAGAGAGAGAGAGAGGCACAGAGAGAGACATCAGTGTGAGAGAGAAACATTGATTGGTTGCTTCCTGTACGTGTCCTGACTGGGGATCAAACCTACAACTTGGCTTGTGCCCTGACCGGGAATTGAACTGATGACCCTTTGGTGCATGGGAGGACATGCCAACCAACTGGCCAGGGCAGTCGTTACATTTTGAAGCCACCATACAGTGACCTTTCATTGACTATGTTTTTTTATTTTTTGTATCTTGGATAATTTTTTCATAAGTTAGTATTCATAAGTGATGTACTCATTACATATTCATAGTGTGTCATTATTTCACATACATCATGGACATGCTTTTTACAGTGTCTTATCACACGTTTCACTGTATTTGTGATGCAGGGCTGGTCTGCTTTTGTTACCATTTCATATTTTTCCTTCATTAAACCCCACATTTCATCTCTTGAGAGGACGTATGTCGTCATCAGTCCGTGCACACAGTCACATGAGATTCACTTGACGTGTTGTTCATTCCCATGTGAAGTGCTTAAAGGTATAGTAAATTCTGTATTTGTTCAAGTTACTTTTTAAAAAGTGTTCTTGTTTTGTCCTATTGAGAGCAATGTGTAATGTTTCTTCTGCATTTATATAAAACATAGTTTGCCAACCCGGATTTTATGGAGTCCATCTCGGATGTTGTTGACGAAGTGATACAGAACTGTCCCAACCATGTACGTCGTCTGCTCTACAAGGTAGGAGCTGCTGGGGGAGGGCTCCGAGCTCACTCCACAGCGCAGGCCCGCGTCCTCAGAGCAGTCATTAACGCCTTTCCTGTTCCACCTCCTGCCTCACAGGGCTTGGTAAAGGCCAGTGTAATGCAGATTTTTTTCTTGGAGTGGGGAGGGCTTAGCTGTTTGGAAGAATGACCCAGTAAACCGGAAGTATTACTTTAACTGTTCTATGTCTTTTATTCTCACCTGGCAAGCTATGCTATTTTAAATTGGACCCTTTTAACTATATGTATTGATTGAAAGAGAAAAGCGAAACTTCCTCTCTAATTTCCATGAATTCTACTGGTTTTGTTTGATGCGTGTTTAGGTTCAGTGCCAATGTGGTGTTGCCAGAAGAAGATAGAGCCTGAAATGAAACAACCAACTAGAAAATGCTCATGTAATATTTTTCCCCAAATTCTTTGGAGGGACTTTTGAACTTGAGAAAATGCTAATCCATGTAGTTACAGAATAAAAGGAAATATTGCTGACCGCCAAATATTGAGAGCAGAAAGGGATGGTCAGTTAGCCTTGGTTAACCTTCGATTGACCTCTGCATGAGGGGGTCATGCTCTCCCACCTCAGGACTGCATCTTCCCTTTCTCAGATCAAGGCAGCCGAGTTTTACAGAAACATCTTCTCATCTGTAATGGGTGGGAAACCTTTTTTTCTGCCCAGGGCCATTTGGATATTTATAACATCATTCAAGAGTCATAAAATTATCAACTTAAAACTCAGCCTATTATATTTGGTCAAACATTTAATTAACTCACCCCTAATGCTTGGCAGGACCAGACCAACTGATTTTGCTGGCCTTATGTGGCCTGTGGGCCGGACGTTCCCCACCCCTGATCTATAAGATGGAATACAGCCTTTAAAAAGAAATAGGCAAATCAGTGAAAATAGGTAAATCAGTGTAAATGCAAATGAAAAGATGTGAGAATATACTGATAGCTAGAAAAGCATGTTGTAAAATTTGCACATAGTATTGGGTCGGCAACTAAGTACTTGGGGATTTTTTAAAGAAAATCAAAGACAATTTTTTCATGGAACTAAATAACTTTATTCTGTAATGTATTGCCCATTTTGATCAATGACCTTTTGCCATCTTTCAGGCAGCATCATAATCCCACGTTCAAAAAACTTCTGGTTTTTATTAGCAAAAAACTGAATCAGGTACGATTTGACATCATCATCATTATTGAAAATTTTTACCATTCAAGGAGTATTTGTAAAGATCGAAACAAAAAGTAATCAGATGGTGCAAGGTCAGGACTATATGGTGGATGTGGCAAAACATCCCAACCAAGCTCCATTAATTTTTGCCGAGTGACCAAAGATGTGTTTGGCCTTGCATTGTCATGATGGAATACAACACCTTTTGGATTTGTCAATTCGGGCCGCTTTTCTTCAACTGCATTGTTTAATTTCGTTAGTTGTTCATGTAGACATCAGAATTGATCGTTCGGTTGGGTGGGCTAAGAGTTCAAAGTAGACAATTCCTTTGTAATCCCACCAAACTGATAACAAAACCTTCTTTTGATGAATATCAGCTTTTGATGTTGTTTGAGTTGGTTCACCTGGCCTGCTCCACGATCTTTTCCGCTCTTGATATTGTTGTAAACAAACCCATTTTTCATCGCCAGTTATCAGTCGTTTTAAAACTGGATCATTTTCATTACGTTTCTTTAGCAAATCGCAGCTGCTATGCGTTGCGTTAACTGTGATTCTTTCAGTTCGTGAGGAACCCATGTATCGAGTGTTTTGAACATAGCCAAGTTGTTTAAGTGATTTTCAATGCATGTATGTGATACATGAAGCTTCTCTGCAATCTTCACGTGTTTGTACTGTGACAGTCCGAATTGATTATTGCTTTGATTAGGGCGTCATCAACTTCAACTGGACGACCAGAGCGTTTTTCATCTTTGAGTGAAAAATCACCAGACGAAATTTGGCAAACCAATTTGACACTGCCGTTCTTTTAAGGCTTCGTCACCATAAACAGCACACAACTTTTTATGAGCTTGCAATGCGTTTTTCCCTTGTGGAAATAAAAAAGCAAAATATGACGAAAATGTTCCTTTTGATTTTCATTTTTCAACAAACGCCAAACGAAAACTACAAAACAGATCAAAAACTTTTTCACTGATTAACAGCTGAATAGCCAACTACCAAATAACAAAATGTGTTTTACATTTGTACTACGTCTGCAAACCTAAAAATTCAACTGAAGCCATATGTGTGTGAACCCGCAATTACTTAGCTGCCGACCCAATATTTCACTTTATATAGAAATATAGTTTGCATATCTATAGAGGGAAAGGTTCTGAATGATATATGCTAAACTTTTTTTGATTATATCAATTCTTTGATTTTTTTAGTCCTTTTCATTTTCATCCATCCCTGCAGCCCCCTCCCATCCGGCAACTGTTAAAGTATTCCTGTATCTATGAGTTTGTTTCTTTTCTGCTTATTTGTTTGTTTTATTTTTTTTAGATTCCACATATAAGTGAAATCATATGGCCTTTGTCTTTCTCTGTCTATGTCACTTAGCATAATACCCTCTAGGTCCATCACTGTCACCGCAGATGGTAACATTTTGTTCTTTTTTATGGCCGAGTCACATTTTAATGTATATATGCACTACTTCTTTATTCTTTCATTTATTGATGGACACTTAGGTTTCTCCCATCTCTTTGTGGTTATTGTAAATAATGCTACATTGAACATATGAACACATGTTTTTGGATTTAGTGTTTTGGGTTTCTTTGGATAAATTCCCAGAAGTAGAATTACTGGTTCCATCTTTGTCTCTTGTTATATAGCCTTTGTTTTAGTCTATTTTGTCTGGTGTAAGTATTGCTACCCAGCTTTTGTTTGTTTCCATTTTCTTGAAATAATTTTTCCATCCCTTTTAGTTGGATCTGAAATGGATCTCTTATAGACATCATATGTATGGGTTTTGTTTTCTTATCCAGTCAGCCTCCATATATCGTTTGATTGGAGCACTTAATCCATTTGCTTTTAAAGTAATTGTTGATAGACATGAATTTGTTGTCATTTTATTATTCATATGTTTGGTGTTTTTTTCTTATTCTTAAAGAAGACCTGTTAACATTTCTTATAATACTGGTTCTGTGTTGAGAAACTCCTTTAGTTTTTTTTTTTGTCTGGGAAGCTCTTTATCTGTTCTTCAATTTTCAATGATAGCTTTGCTGGGTAGAGTGGTTTTGGTATTCATCACTTTGAATATTTCTTGCCAATTCTTTCTGGGCTGCAAAGTTTCTGTTGGGAAATCAGCTGACAGTCATATGGGCACTCCCTTGTATGTAACTAACTGCTTTTCTCTTGCTGCTTTTAAGTTTATTTCTTTGTCTTTAACCTTTGGCATTTTAATTAGGATGTCTTGGTGTGGGCCTCAATGCGTTCATCTTGTTGTTTGGGACTCTGTGCTTCCTGGACTTGTCTTTCTTTTACCAGGTTGGGGAGTTTTTATCACTTTTTTTCACAAAGGGTTTTAGTTACTGCTCTTCTTCTTGCACCCCTATGATGGGAATGTTGGTTGCTTGAAGTTATCCCAGAAGCTTTTTGTACTATCCTAATTTTTTTAAATTCTTTTTTCTTTTGCTGTTATAATTGAGTGTTTCCTGCTTCCTTATCTCCCAAACCGCTGATTTGATCCTCTGGTTCATCTGTTCCACCTTTGATCCCCAGTCTCGATGTGGCTTCTTCTTTATATTCTTAGTTATAGGACTTCTGTTCAGCTAGATTTCAGGCGGTTCTCAATTATGGTTGTTCTGTAGTTTAGTTGCAATTTTGAGGTGGTTGTGGGAGGATGTGAGTACCACCTTTACCTATGCCACCATCTTGAACACATTCTTCATATGCCAGCCTCTTAACTAAAATGTCTTTGGGGGTGGTAGATGGACAACTTTTACTTTTTGTCTTTTAAAATAGTTTGAAGTTTTATAGTTAAAAAGTGTTATTTTTATTACTGGAAATTTTTTTTCTATATAGATAACTCTTTATGGGTGAAAATAATTATAATTCTCTATTTATTGCATATCCTTGAATGTCCTCCAATAAAATCCACAAGAAGGGCAAACTGAAGACAGACTGGATATTGAGATTCAGTGAAACAGTCCATCTTGTTCTCCCCACTTCTTATTTTTTTTAAAAAAATATAATTTATTGTTTTTGCCTAAAAAAAAACAAAAAAAAACCCTTCCATTTTGTACAAGCCCTCTGAGTGCCCTTCTAGTTACTACATGAATCTATAATAATAAAAGTGTAATATGCTAATTAGACCAGACAGCCTTCTGGAGGAAGCCAGGGCTGGGTGGGAAGCCGGGTCCCGGGTGCCGGAGGGAAACCTGTGGCAGCTGCAGGGGGGAAGGAAGGCCTACTGTTGCATGGATTTCATGCATCAGGCCTCTAGTTGTTTAATAAAGCCTGTTAGATCAAATTAAAAAAAAATAAATATAATTTATTGATTTTGTACAGAGAGGGAGAGAGATAGAGAGTTAGAAACATCGATGAGAGAGAGTCATCGATCAGCTGCCTCTTGCACACCCCCTCCTGGGGATATGCCCGCAACCAAGGTACATACTCTTGACCGGAATCGAACCCGGGACCCTTCAGTCCCCAAGCCGACGCTCTATCCATTGAGCCAAACCGGTCTCGGCTCTCCTCACTTCTTAAATCTCAGCTTTAGCTGAGTCTTCTGGTCCGTGAGAGCGAGGAACAGGTGGCCTCTGGGTCTTCTTGTCCATGAGAGCAGGAGCAGGAATCCGGGGTCTTCCCTCTGTCCTGCTGGACATGGACTTCTGTCAGTGGCTACTAGTTGCTCCTGATGGGGTGAGGGTTTTCTCCTGGGACAGGCAGGTGGATGGGCTTCCTCCTCCCAGTGGGTGTGAGCTTGTCATGGGAAGAACCTCGCCTGAACTTCAGTGACGTGCACAGGTGTACGGGTCGGTGGGTTTTTAGAGTTTGGAACCCTCTTCCGGTGGGAGACACCTTCCTGCAGAACACACTGCCCTCTGCTCTGTCCTAGGCCTGCCCTTCCTCTCCTGTCGCTCTGGAACTGTCGTTCCTTTCCCGCTACTGATGTTGTTCCTGCCGGGCCCGCTCTCATCCGTGGCACAGGTACCTGCCTGGGCTTACAAGCGCTCAGTGGTCTGGATAGCATGGCCCAGTGGTTGAGCATCGACCTATGAACCAGGAAGTCATGGCTCGATTCTCGATCAAGGCACATGCCCAGGTTGCTGGCTCTACCCCCAGTGGCGTGTGTGTGTGTGTGTGTGTGTGTGTGTGTGCGCGCGTGCACGCGCGTGTGCAGGAGGCAGCAAATCAAGGATTCTTCCTCATCATTGATGTTTCTGTCTGTCTTTCTCTCCCTTACTCTCTGAAATCAATAAAAAAGCATCAAAACAAAACAAAACAAAACAAAGACAAAGCACTCAGTGAACTGGGGAGGAAGCATGGTCCAGAGCCAAAAGAAGTTATGAAGTCAAGGGGGCTGAGCCCTGCTGAGCTTTGACCAGACAGGTGAGGGACCCTCCATGAGAGCAGGCTCTGGTTCCGGCCCCTGTCACCCGCACTGCCCGGTGGTCCCCACAGCCTCTTGTGGCAGCTGTGATGTCTGAATTGGCTGTAGTGGGACCCCAGAAACCCAGCAGGAGGGAGTTCTGAACCAGCGCCTTGGTGCCTGAGGGCCTGCTGTTTGGGAGACCGGTCCGGACCCCTGGTGCAGGTCCTCGGTGGGGGAGTTGGAGGAGGCTCATTGGGCCCCGTGGTGGCAGCTGGTCCTCGATGTGAGTTAGCACCTTGCTCAGGCTGATGGTGGAGGGGTGAGAATGAAAGGTGGCTTTGAAACTTCAGAATCTTGAGAAAAGCAGAAGTTTGTTCTTCGGAAGAAAGTAGTCATACCCTAATTTTTATTTCAGTCTGGCCTGTGGATAAGAAGGCTGGCTGTACAGCCTCTTTGTAGGGAGGTTGGGGCCTCAGGGGCTCACGTGTGAGAGGCCTATGCTGTCCCCAAAGGCCAAGACATTGCCAGGAGCAGGTGCTGCTTGAGCCCTGGCTGCCGTGGGCATCACCCTCAGGAGTGTCAGAGTGGACACATGCCTGGTCCCACCCCCAGGGAAGCTGTTGTGGTCGGGCTCAGCCTGGGCTGGGTGTTAGGAGCGTCTGGGTGACTGTGATGTGCAGCTAAACCTGCAGCGCTGTAGCAGCTGGCTTCGTCTCCATGTTCAGTCGCTTTTGTGCTGTACTTGTGGGCAGGGCTGGTTTTGAGTTGCTTTGTTATGAAACTGCATGTCTTCATTCCTGAGTTCTGGTCCTCAGATATCCGAGCTCCGGACAGACCACAACACGATCATAGTCAAAGCAGGGGACTTAAGTGTGTAGGAGAGAGGGTTCTTGTCCTCTAGACCTTAAAAAAAAAAGCTAAAAATAATCTACACTAATAACAGAGAAATATGCAAATTGACTGTACCTTCATGACACCCACCAGCCAATCAGGAGTGAGTATGCAAGTTAACCCCACAAAATGGCAGGTTAATTTGCATACACAGGCGCCGAGTCATTGCCATTGCGACAATGCAGGCATTCTGCACCGATCCAGCTGCTCTGGGCCTCTGGGCAGCGTGGGAAGGTGGAAAGGCGGCTCCGGGCCTAAGCAAAGGCAGAAAGGCAGCTTCTGGCTGGAGCAAAGGTGGTCTCGGAAGCCAGGGGAAGGAAGGGCCATTCTTGCATGAATCTTCGTGCATCAGGCCTCCAGTACTGAAATAATTCTAATGGGAAACACCGCAGGCCACATGTCACTCAAACGAACCATGCAAAGTGTGGTAATCGAGAGAAGGGGCAGACTGAGCTGAGTCTTGAGGGGTTGGCCTGCAGAGCGGGGAGGGGCTTGGGCCAGGGGGTGGGGCCTTAACTCAGACAGAGCAGGTGAGCAGGAAGTCTGTTCTGCTGGAGCCAGGCATGGAAGGTATGGAAACCACTGGGAGGCAGGCCAAGAGCTGTTTAAAATTCTTTTTCGTTATATTTGTCAAGCACATGTAAATACATTTTTTAAAGCTTTCTGTGGGTTATTTTATTTTTTAAAATTTTATTTTATTGTTTATGTAATTATACTTTGAAATAGCTTAAGGGATGGCTTTTCTATAACAAAATTGCTTGAATTGGATATATAATTATGCTCAGGCCTTTTAAATCAGAGAATCAGGTGGCAAAGTAAAGGAGATAATATATATAACTTTTTATTCTTCATGTTGAATGAGTTCAAATATCTTTAATATTTCAGAGAGAAAAGTACATATTTTAAGATATCATTGGGGGTTTTCAACTCTTTTCAAAATAGGCCTTTTATTTGGTGAAGGCCTGACTGGAGACTGACGGGGGAACAGTAGAGATGCTGCGCTGGGTGGGTGGAGGACAGAAGGGCTGGGTGTGTGCACCAGCCACCGCCTCCTGTGCCCAGCATTCCTCGGTGCTTCCTGTGGAGCCCCACGCCCAGCAGGACTGTGTTTCCGGGGAGGAAGATGGTGACGTGCTGCGAGGAGAAGGTCATTGTAGGGAGTGGTGCCGTTGCACTGACCACGCTGAACAAATGTTCCTGAGCACCTGCCAGGCCACCTCCCGCTGGGGCAGGGACAGCACCCACACGGAGTGCGTGTGGGGCAGGCGCTGGGGACTGCAGGTGGCGCCGCCTCGGCCTGCGCAGGGCGTCGACCTGTGCCGATAGTGATGCAGCGTTTGTGCGTTCACTGTGTCGTCATGATCATACGTGCATTGAGCCCTCAGAATGGGGCCAGGGTGACTCGGGACAGCTTGTGAAATTGTGTTTAAATTTATTTTTTAAATTTTATTTAAAAAAACTTAAAAACATTTTTTTTTTAATTTAAAAATCATTTAGATTGATTTTTAGAGATAAAGAAACAGAAACATCAGTTTGTTGTTTTGCTTATTTATGCATTCATTGGTTCTTTTTTTTTTGTTAACTCTCATCTGAGGATATTTTTTCCATTGATTTTTAGAGGGAGTAGAGGATAGAGAGATTGAGAGAAAGAGAGAGAAACATGAATGGGAGAGAGGCACATTGATTGGTTGCCTCCTGCACACGCTGTGACTAGGCCCAGGATTGAACCTGTAACCCAGGTACTTACGCTTCACTGGGACTCAAACTCGAGACCCTTCGGCATGCAGGCTGACCCTCTAATCACTGAGCCACATGGCCAGGGTACTGGTTGATCGAACTTGCAAACGTGGTGCCTGGAGGTGATGTTCCAACTAACTGAGCTGCCTGGCCAGGGCTGTTTGCATCGGAGCCCAAGTGGCCATGTGTGGCCATTGGCCCCGGGGACAGCTCAGACCCACTGAGCCCTGGCCAAAGGGAATGCCCTGTGTCCACCCCTGGGTGGCGGAGAGGAGCATGTGGGTCTGGAGGAGTATGGCCTCTGCAGGCCTTTACTGTGGGCATGGCGGGTGGGGCCTGGGCTGTGTGCACCGGGGGGCGGGGGGGGGGGGTGCTGGCAGCTGCGTGTGCTAAGTGGGTGCACTGGGGGGCCTTACGTGGAGGCGGGTTTTACCACACGGAGCGCATTGGGTTTTGCAGGGAGGTGACTTATCCCACCTACGGCTGGGAAAGCGTGAGCTGCACCCCAGGGGTGGGTGGGAGCCCGAGGGGCAGGAGCAAGAGTGGTGGGCGGCCCGGGACGATGCCCACGAGGGAGGCGCGGACTCGCAGGAAGACGCGGAGAGGCCGGGCAGTGTGTGATGGGTTGATGGGAAATCCAGGGTTCTCACATGCTCACCTTGGAGGGCGTCACTAACTAGGCCGTGCGGAGAAGGAGCCGTGGAGGATTGGGTGCTAGGTCTGGTCATGGGAGGGGTAGGAGGAAGGTCTGGGTCCTCGTGCCGCAGGAGGAGGGCTGCGGTGCTGTCACAGGGACAGGACAGGAAGGCCCGGTTGTACGACGGCAGAGGAGAGGCTGTCAGTGGGCTCTCCAGAGACACAGCGGCAGAGGTGGTTGCACCGTCTCCATCTCCTCCCTCCGCGGCCTCCATGTCTGTGTCAGGGTTAGCACGCCCTGGCCTGCGTCCCCTGGTCAGTCCTGAATCAGGGCAGGCGGCTGCGGGACTGGGCGGAGCGGACTGCAGTCTGAGGCCCGTCCCTTCGCTCGGGGATGAGGCCCACGGACGCACGGAGGGACACTCCCGCTCACCACATCGACAGGAGCCCCCAGCCCGGCGCCGTGCCAGTTAGATTGGGTGCCACAGGCAGGCCACGCTGGCGTGTAAAGTGAACCGTCACAGAGGAAGAAAGAGAGAGAACTGCAGAAGCCACTGGAAGGTTGTTGGCAGCCCACCTGGTGTTGCTGAGAGGTCACCAGGGGAGCTGAGACCTGGGCGAGGAGGTGAGCGGCCTGTGAGGGGGGTGGCAGAGCCAGGTCCAGCCGGCGGGAGAGGAGCCGTGCAGACAGTCTGGCCCGGCAGCCGGGCCTCCCTGTCTCTAGGGCTCGGCACCACGTCCCAGAAGCACGCTGCTCGGCTTTGCTGAGAGCCGGGCTTCGGGCTCAGTTGGAGAGCGGGAAAGCCTGTCCCCAAAGAGAGAGCCTTTCACAGCACCACAGGCCGCTGCAGGCGCCCGTCTTCCCCGCAGTGTTTGGTCCGCTGGCCGGGGTGGGCGCGGTGCCTGCGGTGAGCGGGAGTACCTGCCACCCTCACTCCTTCGTGGGGTACTGCTGAGCTCATCCCAGACATTGTGCTCCATTCATAAGTATTCCAGAAAGTGTCTCTAACAGATAAGGACGCTGTAAGAAAAACATAAGCGCAGTCTCACGATCACACCTGAAAGTACTGGTAATAATCCCACAGAATTATCCAGTGCCCAGCAGTGTCTTGTCATCGTTTGTTCCCCGGCAGTCTGTGGGCGGGCGGCTCACCCAGGAAACCTCTGCTTTGTCTTCTAGAACGTTGTGCTTTCGGGAGGCTCCACAGTGTTCAGAGACTTTGGGCGGCGGCTGCAGCGAGACTTGAAAAGGGTGGTGGATGCCAGACTGCGACTCAGCCGAGAGCTCAGCGGTGGCAGAGTAAAGGTGGGGATGGGGCGGAAGGGCGTCCGGGGGGCGGAGGGAAGGGCGTGGGGGGGGGGCGGCGGAGGGAAGGGCGTCCGGGGGGCGGTGGAGGGAAGGGTGTCGGGGGCGGAGGGAAGGGTGTCCGGGGCCCTGAGCCAGGCTGGGGGTACGGGCAGAGGTGGATGCTGAGCTCCCTCCCAGTGTGGCACACGGACAGGCGGACAGGCGCGGTGGCTGGCAGCTCCGCTCCGCCCCTGGCCGCGCCGGGCCGTGTCCGGGAGCCGGGCCCTGCACCGAGGCCCCGGTGCCCTGGAGCGGCCGTTCGCAGGGAGACAGTGCCGTGCTCCACGCCTCCGCCCGACGGCACAGCCCGCAGCGGGCCACGCGGGCACGCGGGCGAGGGCGGGGGGGGGGCGAATGGGAGCAAACGGGTGTCATTCTCAGAGCATTTTGGGGACTCAGTGTTACCTGGAATTATTCCTACAAAATAAAACAGCCAATTTGTTCAGTAAATAAACTGAACTGTGTTTGTTGCTTGGATTTTTTGCCTTTTTTTAATCCTCACCGGAGGATATCTTTCTCTTGCTTTTTAGAGGGGGAGGCATATCAATGTGAGAGAGACATACTGATTGGTTGCCTCGCACACCTATCTGACCTGCAACACAGTACTTACGTGCCCTTGACCAGAATTTGAACTCAAGACCTTTTGGTTGGTGGCCTGATGCTCCAGCTGCTGAACCATACCGGCCAGGGCTGATGCCTTATTTTTATTTATTTATTTTTATTTTTTAAAAATACATTTTATTTATTTTTTACAGAGAGGAAGAGAGAGGGATAGAGAGTTAGAAACATCGATGAGAGAGAATCATCCATCAGCAGCCTCTTGCACACCCCCTACTGGAGATGTGCCTGCAACCAAGGTACATGGCCTTGACCAGAATTGAACCTGGGACCCTTCAGTCCGCAGGCTGACACTTTATCCACTGAGCCAAACGGGTTTCGGCGATGCCTACTCTTTAAATGCCCTTAGGGTTCTGAGAGACTTGCCTGCTGTTTCCCCGTGCCACCTGGGCTGGTTGCTGGGCTTGGCAGAGTGTGGGGGGCAGGGGCCTGGTGTGCAGCAGGAGTGGCTGAGACCCTCCTTTCCGAGGCAGCTGTGTCTCAGGAAGGCCAGAGCGGCTGGTGCCCTGTGCCCTGTGCCCTCCCGCAGCCAGGCCGGTGGAGGTGAGGGTGACCCCGCACCGCATGCAGCGCTTCGCCGTGCGGTTCCGCGGCTCCGTGCTCGCCTCCACCGTAGGTCCCTCCCCGGCTCTGCCGCTCCGCGTCCTGAGGGTCAGACCTGTGCCTGCTACACAGTCGCCACCCAGTCCTGCAGACAGACATGCCTCTCCGTCCGCCGGGGCTCGGGGTGACGGCCGTGTGGTCAGTGAACCCACGTGACCTCAGCGCTCTGCGTTAATCCTCGATGCCCTGATGCTCCGAGGCTTAGTGCCTTTCCTCCTCAGCACGGAGCAGCCACAAACCGCGACACCAGCACAGCTCCCAGACAGAGCCGAGGGGTTTCAACCAGGGACCGTGTGGCTGCTCAGGCCGGGAGAGGTGGAGAGGGGCAGGCCTGTCTGGGCGGGGGTGGGGAGGGAGGGAGGATAGGAGGGAGGGTGGGGAGGAGAGGTGGAGGGCAGGCCTATTGGGGGGGGAGGGAGGGTGGTGAGGAGAGGAGAGGGCAGGCCTATTGGCGGGGGAGGGAGGTGGTGAGGAGAGGAGAGGGCAGGCTTGTCTGGGGCGGGAGGGAGGGTGGTGAGGAGAGGAGAGGGCAGGCCTGTTTGGGGCGGGAGGGAGGTGGTGAGGAGAGGAGAGGGCAGGCCTATTGGGGGGGGGAGGGAGGTGGTGAGGAGAGGAGAGGGCAGGCCTATTGGGGGGGGGGAGGGGGGGTGGGGAGGGGGGGAGAGGGCAGGCCTTGGGGGGGGGGAGGGAGGTGGTGAGGAGAGGAGAGGGCAGGCCTATTGGGGGGGGAGGGAGGTGGTGAGGAGAGGAGAGGGCAGGCCTATTGGGGGGGGCAGGGAGGTGGTGAGGAGAGGAGAGGGCAGGCCTGTCTGGGGCGGGAGGGAGGGTGGTGAGGAGAGGAGAGGGCAGGCCTGTCTGGGGCGGGAGGGAGGGTGGTGAGGAGAGGAGAGGGCAGGCCTGTTGAGCGGGGGGGAGGGGGGGGGTGTGAGCTTGCGAGCTGCGTCTGTCCTGGACACTCACGAATCGGGCTGTACAGCCCGGGTTCCTGCAGGCCTGCCACACCAAGAAGGACTACGAGGAGTGCGGCCCCAGCATCTGCTGCCACAGCCTCGTCTTCGGAGTCCTGTCCTAGGGCCAGCCTGGCCCTGGGCCTGTGGTCGCCTTGTGAGCCAGCTGTCTTTCAGACCCTGCGAGGGGCCAGCAGTGATGCGGGTGTTGGGGGTACGAGGCAGCAGCGCAGGTGGAGCCCCCGTGCCTCGTGCCCTCCTGCCTCCCCAACCCGCTCCAGCTGGCTTCTGGGATGCCGGGAGCAGCCTAATGGGCACTGGACTCGCATTAGGAAAACAGCCAGAATGTGGGCAGGCAGCCCCTCCCCTGGGGCATCAGCCTGTCCCGTCTAACTAAAGAGCACTGTACAAATTAACCTTCACTCTGACAGAGATGCGGCACCCATTGCGGCCGGGGCGGGATGCCTGCGTCTGCACCCCAGCTGTGCGGGCCTCTGGCCGGAGACGGAGTGCGGGGCACTGGCAGTGTTGGGGGCCGGGCTGAGGGACCCCCATCCCGTGCACGAATTTTGTGCAGCAGGCTTCTAGTTTTTGTAAATAAAATGTTATGAACTTGAAATACAAATTGAAGTTTGTATTTTCTATCATTTTGCACTCTATTTATTTGGTGCACGTGGCTGGTCCCTGTGTGGGCGGGCGCCGGGACCGGGCCTGGGCGGGTGCTGGTTCCCCGGAGTGTGGCCATCCGTGTCCCCGAGGCACGCCAGAGGGCAGTAGCCACGTGTGTGCTCGGAGCCAGCGCTGGGAGACGTGGACCCGCTCACGTCCTCGTGTGGACCCCTGGCTGGCGCACGGTGGGCGGCGGCGGCCACGGGCCTCGAGGCTTCGCCTCCCTCCCAGCCGGCAGCTCCTCCATGGCCCTGGCTCAGAGGCCGGGCCTCAGCAGTGGTTGCGTTAGAACCTAATGTGCGCATTCTCAGGCCACAGGACTGCTAGGCTTCCCCGTCCCCTCTGAGGTTGTCCTCACGTTTGTCCAGCTCACAGATCCTGAGCAGGGCGCTTGTTCTAGACATGACGCCCTGGCTGGTCCTCGGCACCAGGCGAGTCAGATAAGGCGGGAGGGGGTTGGGGGTCGGGGGGGAGAGAGAGAGAAAGAGAGAGAGAGAGAGAGAGAGAGAGAGAGAGAGAGAGAGAGAGAGAGATACACAACTATTATATAATGAGAGAGAATCATGGGTCGGCTGCCTCCTGCTCGGCCCACACTGGGGATGGAGTCCACAACCTGGGCTTGTGCACTGACTGGGAATCGAATCGTGACCTGCTGGTTCATGGTCGACACTCAACCACTGAGCTATGCTGGCCGGGCAAAGAATTTATTGATCTGAGGGAGAGCGAGCAAAAAGGAGGAAGAGAGAAGCATGGATTTGTTGCTCTGTTTATTGATGCATTCCTTGGCTGCTGCTTGTATGCGCCCTGACGGGGGGTCGAACCCAGCCTTGGTGTATCGGGAGGACGCTGTAGCCACTGAGTTACCCAGCCAGGGCTAATGTTTTGCTTCTTTAAACAGACCTGCCAAGTACTGTCTGTCGAAGGGGCTGGGGTCGGTCACTCAGTAAGAAGGAAGAGTGCCAGTTGCGTTGGTGATCTTAAGGAAATGGCACATGCTTTTTCTCCAGATTGAATTAGATTATAGTGTGACGATGTCAGTAGGTAATATCCACCTTCTACAATAAAATGCCTCCGTGAACAGTTTTCCATAAAAATAACTCAACAAATGCACACTTGAACATTCTAAAATTGTCAGCCAATGGTTTTCAGAACCATTGCGCTGTCTAACGGTGTAGAAAGTTGCTTGGCGCTACCTAACAGATGTAGATGCAAACTCAGCCCCAGGCCAAGAACCTGTCACAGGGACGCCTCCCCTGCCCCCTGGTCGCTGCCCACCCGCGGAGAACCTGGCCACGCGGGAGTCCAGGCATCGCGTCCGCCTTTGGTAAGCTTCTACTCAAGACCACACGGAAGAACATGCCCAGGATTTTGCTCCTACATGTGTGGGGTGTCCAGGACAACTGCACGTGGGAGATGGAGGCTGCTGAAGGGGTGTCATCTGTCCGGGTCTTGGAGGAGGTGTGTGGTGACTCACCCGGCACAGGGGGCTCTGAGGCCCTGGGTGCTCACGGGGACACACCAAGGAGGTGGGCTCTCTCCTGTCCAGCTTCCAGGGGAGGGGATGAGCGGGGAGTGGACCTTGGGGCTGAGGTTTGCCAGCAAGTGTGGGGGCAGGGCAGGTACCTGGTTCTCTGTGGGTGGGTGTGGGTGTGGGTGCCAGGTCCTCTGTGGGTGGGGGGGGGGCGGGTGGGTGCCGGGTTCTCTGTGGGTGGGGGGGTGGGTGCCGGGTTCTCTGTGGGTGGGGGGTGCGGGTGCTGGGTTCTCTGTGGGTGGGGGGGGTGGGTGCCGGGTTCTCTGTGGGTGGGGGGGCGCAGGTGCTGGGTTCTCTGTGGGTGGGGGGGCGGGTGCCGGGTTCTCTGTGGGTGGGGGGGCGGGTGCCGGGTTCTCTGTGGGTGGGGGTGCGGGTGCCGGGTTCTCTGTGGGTGGGGGGGCGCAGGTGCTGGGATCTCTGTGGGTGGGGGGGGCGGGAGCCGGGATCTCTGTAGGTGGGGGGGCGGGAGCCGGGTTCTCTGTGGGTGGGGGGGGCGGGTGCCAGGTTCTCTGTGGATGGGGGGGGCGGGTGCCGGGTTCTCTGTGGGTGGGTGGGGGCGGGTGCCGGGTTCTCTGGGTGAAGCCAGGAGGGTGGGGAGGACAGGGAGTGAGAGGCTGAGAGTGGAGGGTCCCAGGACTGGAGGTTCAAGCCTCAAGTTGGGGAGACTAGTCACAGAGACAAGCCCTTCTCAGCGATCACAGCGTCACCAAGGTGGGCACCCGGCAGAGGTTGAATTTGCTGGAAACTGGAGAATTCAGGGCGTTGGGCAGATGGTCCAGTTGGGGGCGGGCACCATCTGGGTGGAGGGGCCTTGGCGATGAGAGCAGAACTGTGGTCGCAGCACAGCCGGCGGCCAGCCCTGAGCATCGCCTGTGCGGAGCTCACCGGGGCCTTGTGTGAGCTGGGCTCCCTGTGACGGGTGCTGCTGTGACCCCGTTTCCAGGGAGACACTCGGCACACGGGGAGGGGTGAGGCACTGCCTGGTGTCCATGTGCTCGTCCCCAGGCTGGAGAAGCAGGTGGGTGACAGCCTGGAGTGGCGGGCGGTGGGCGGCGGGCAGAGTGCCGCCCGGACAGTCGGGAATGGCGGAGGAGGAGCTGTGGAAGGCCCTCCCCCACCCACATCTCTGGCATGTGATGTCTTGTAGGGAGCTGCTGCCGATGTTTGTATGTGGAATTATTTTTATTCAAGGTGCTTTGTTCAACATGTGTGTGCCCTGTGATTGACTGCATCGTATGTGATAAGGAAGCAAAGAGTCATCAATCTGAGCATGAGAGCCACAGGGCACAACAAGTGTGCAGTAGGTTCCAGCCGTTATTCTGTTCAAAGCAGCTGTGTCCCGAGAGCCCCACTCATGAAAACTGTCTTAAAAACAGTTTTCAGAGGAGGATCCAAGATGGCTGCTCGGGTAGACACCTAACCGGAGCAGCACACAACAATTTCAATGGAATACAACTAAAATGTAGAGTGGACATCGCCCAGAGCTACAGGTAGTCGACTGACTGAAAATTCTACAACAAGAAGGAAAGAGAAAACCAGAAGGAAAATCAGAGGAGCTGAAAAAAGCCTAAGGTACGGAGACATGCTGCCCGCATGCACGCCCGCAGAGAGGTTGCAGCCGGAGAGGAGGAGAGGGCTGGGTGCTGCCTGGCGTTCCCTAGCAGGAAGGAAATAAAACCCCCAGCCTGGGCTGAACCCCTGAACCGGCAGCGCTGAGCCCCAGTTATGAGCCAGACCCTGGGGACCCAGGCTCCGGCGGGGGAGACGGGGCTGTGAGGCGGAATCCCAAGCGAGCAGCGAAAAGCAGGGCCCCCGGAGTCGTGCGCACTTTGCGCGCAGAGGACTGAATGTTGACTCTGATGCTGGATTACCCTAGCCGGAAGAAACAAAGCCTCCGGCTGCGCTGAGCCTCAGTCCGGACTGCTCTGAACCCCAGTTTTAGGCCAATCCCTGGGGACCCAGGCTCGGGCAGGGGGAGACGGGGCTATGAGGCGGAATCCCAGGGGAGCGGCGAAAAGCGGAGCCCCCAGAGTCGCCCGCACTGCGCGCAGAGGACAGTCTGTTGACTCTGATCCTAGACTCCCCCAGCGGGAAGGAGAAAAAAAAAAAGCTCCAGACTGGAGGAATGCCACAGGGAGCAGGAGCCCCTGCTGGACACCAGCCAGCCGGGGGCCGGCAGGGAGCTGGGCGACGGGGCCCCTGGGGGGGGGGTGCCCCCGAGCCATCGACCTCTGAGTGCGGGCAATGGAGCCAAGGCCGGGGGCTGCTTCCTGGGTGGCGCCGACCCCGGCAACAGGCTGGAGCAGCGCGTGAGCCCGCGGAGAACAAAGGAGTGCCACAGGCCAACCTGCTGAGCTCCCAGGACAAGGAGGAAGAAACCAAAGTTCTCAATGTGAAGAAATCAAGTGAGAGCAAAAGATAGTAAAATTACTTAAGAAAGAATACAAAGAAGATCTTGAAAAATCAAAGATTAAGTCAGAACTCAACTCACCAGCCAACATTGCAACATAAATATGTTTAAAAAAAAAAAAAAAGACAGAATGTTGGAACAGCGGCGGCCAGGCCTAGAGTGCCCAGGCACAAAGCAATGGCAACCGGGCCCGGAGCAGCAATGGCCAGGCCCCAGAGCAGCATCAGCCAGAACCAGAGCAACAACAGCCAGCACTGGAGCAGCCAGACCTGGGGCAGTGGCAGCCAGGCCTGAGGCGGAGGCAGCCAAGCCCAGGGTGGCCAGTCCAGGAATACCCAGACCCGGAGTGGCCGGTCCCGGAGAAGCCGGGCCCAGAGCAGCCGGGCTGGGAGCAGCCAGGTCCAGAACAGCAGTAGCCAAGCCCGGAGCATCCAGGCTGGGAGCGGCCAGACTCGGAGCGGCCGGGCCCGGGGCAGCTGGGCCCAGAGCAGCCGGGTCTGGTGCGGCCAGGCCCGGAGCAGCAGCTGCCAGGCTGGGAGCGGCCAGGCCCGGAGCATCCGGGTCTGATGCGGCCAGGCCCGGAGCAGCGGCTGCCAGGCTGGGAGCGGCCAGGCCCGGATCAGCGGCTGCCAGGCTGGGAGCGGCCAGGCCGGGAGCAGCCGGGTCTGGTGCGGCCAGGCCCAGAGCAGCAACTGCCAGGCTGGGAGCGGCCAGGCCCGGAGCCGCCAGATCTGGTGCGGCCAGGCCCGGAGCAGCGGCTGCCAAGCTGGGAGCGGCCAGGCCCGGAGCAGCGGCGGCCAGGCTGGGAGCGGCGAGGCCCGGATCAGCGGCTGCCAGGCTGGGAGTGGCCAGGCCCGGAGCAGCCGGGTCTGGTGTGGCCAGGCCCGGAGCAGTGGCTGCCAGGCTGGGA